GTCAGCCAACTCTCAAATATTGTCAATGTCCAGCTGCTACTATGGTGGATCTCATCCTGTCCCTCGAAGATTTTCAGAAACAATTTCTAATAACAAACACGAAAAAACAGAACACAGATTGGCGACTGGAGAATCCTTTATTCCTACGCCAATATATATCCAACAATGAGGTTATTATACACAAGGTTTCTGATAGTTTTCTTCCACCGAACAGCGAACGATGAGACGATGACTGGTGTATTGATGACTCCCGCGAAAAATATGGTGAAGTCGGGTTTGAGCGAACAACCACGAATTGATCGTTCAATCTTCAACTACACTGACACTCCCCGGCAAAAATCGGATTCATCCCTTTTTTCCATCACAACCAATACACGTTGACTTGGATGCCATTGCGAGAACCTGGGTCACACGGACAAAGCTGAAATGGAAAACAAACAGCAAAGCCAACACACCACAGGCATATCCACAGCACAATCTCACACATCGACGACGACTTACGCCTTCCAGTTAAAGGCATCCTCTTGACATCTTGCAACACAATCGCCACTTGCTAGAATGACTCTTACAGAAAACAACGTGACCATAGCAGCACCTCACGATATTCTTCACACGCTGTCTTATCTATTCACTACCAATTACCACTGCAGTCGCTTCTCACTCATTCTGCCTCGATCCTAGTAATGGTGATGTATGCAAGCCTAAGTCGTCTACACTCTCGCTCCTCCGCGTGTGGGACCACATTCTAAATAGAAACATTCACTCTCATTCATTGATTCCGCAGCTAATCCTTATCTCCGTGTTCATGTCATTCTCAGCACTAGCCTAGCCTCCCCGACGTATACGACCCATCTGCTGTCCTTAAAATCAATCAATTCATTCACGGATATGGAAGACTCGAAACAACTTCAGGAGTAAGCACGACGAAAATTTTAACAAAATTATGCAATAACAACAAGGTACGAAAACAACAAGTAAACACAATGAATCCAAAAACACCAATTGATATGACACACCACACGTATATACAAACAGTACACATAACCTCGCCGATCATGTCTTGATGGAATTCTTTTGAGGAATTGCAGGACTTACACCAGTGCGCCTGCGACCCTTCTCCGAATGACGATTGTAGGTTGACGAATGTCCGGACACAAACAAGATTAACCAACAATTACATTAACTGGAACCCACTCAATTACTTAACACAAACATGTTGACAGTCAATACATCAAATGTTGTGGATTCTGCCTTGACGAGCAACTCTTGAAGAGATGTAGGACTTACAGCAGTACGCCTACATTCCTTCACAGGTTGATGATACAAGTGGAAGACGTCCGGACACAAACAAAATTACTAACAGATAGGTGAGAGATTATACCAATTCAGTATATAAAACACGAACGTACGTATAAAAAACATACCAAGTACGATGGACTGAGCTTCGACGTACTACTCTTGAAGAATTGTAGGACTTAGAGCAGTACGCCTATATTCCGAGGATCAGTCGTTACGCCATTCGACCAGGATACATGAACCATCTTAGAAATAAGGCCCACCTATACCATTTCCCACAGTCAGCTGAAGCTATACAGCATGATTAATGGACATTATCCTATATACCCATGATAGGAATAGAATATAGCCTAAAACTTTCTTGGCACAGGGCACTAAGAGGAAATCATCGCTGGCCCTTACCACCAGTACTCCATCCGTCGGAGGCTTGAATCCAGTATTCATCCACCTGGACTGCCTAACTGCAGTAGAGGACCTGAATGAGGAAAGCCTTATCAGCAGCCTTGTATTTCATCACCATCAAGAAGAGTAGCCACAATATCTTTTTTAGTTCTTCTCTCAACATATGTGAAAACACTTCGGGTAAAGCCATATGAATGGACAGTGGCAAATCAAGACATTGTACCGAACTTTGGTTTCATTTTATCCCAGATGGATTTGTTGTAGTCTATTGAGATAAGTGATTCTGTCACCTATCACTCATCTGGAAGAGTGCTATAACACGTATTCTTATGTTCAAGGGAATAATCGCCGGTTTCCTGGGGGACTTGCATTCGACAGATCTACATTACCTGACCCCAAGTGTATTTCTTAATTCATTGTCTGTATCACTGAAGGACAAGTCACAATTTACTGTCTAGCCGTTGGTGGAGAGCAAAGCCTTATAGACATCTAAGAGACGAGGGAATGATGACGTTTCCGCGAACCACCATGTGTACCGATTCAAGTTCCTACACCCACAATTACCACTGTGTTTATTCCACGTAGACGAAAAGCAAATCAAAACGACAGATTCACCATCCAAGATATGAATCAAATTCGTGGTGTGATGTTACTTTTTGGAATTTTAATCCTATCCCGTTCTATTGTGTGGTTGTTTGTTAATGCATGAAGTGCAATTGCTGAGCTTTTTTCTAAATTACTTATCTTCTCATGGTCAACCATTTTTACCTCAGATAGGTCCTTATGTCCCGGTAATCTTACTAACCACGACCTACTAGTTTCACCTATGTAGTTGACGTAACTCAGAGTCATTGTAGGGTATCTTGTAGATTATATTGTCTAATTGGGTCAACAGGGTTCTTTAACCTACACAGCTTGTCTCTGATTGAGTTTGTAAGTTTGAATACCACCATAATTCCTGCTCTATTAAAAATCCTACGTAGAGTCTCAGAAGTCCCCTCCTCATATGGTATAACAGTGGATGACTTACTTACGTTATCATTACTAGTTTCACAATTATTTTTATTTTGCTTTTGGACTTTTCTAATCTTCCTAATGAAACACCAACGCCTCTTCTATCTGTTTAATTTCATCATTTAGGTCTTTTCTTGTGCTGTTTAGTGCTACTGCTCGGTTTGTTAGACACTTAACTAAGCCTATATATTGAAACACCTTAAATACCCACGGATGAAGGTACCATCAAAAAATATCGTCGTCCTTAACACTTGAATGACATACATATCATACTGGTTTATTTACGCACTGAAGATATTTACGTAACACACCAAGATATATGAGAAATTTTTTCACGAGAACCACTACTCCCTTGCACTGATGCATGTTAAACCGAATTCTTCCACCTACAGAACTACTAGTGTAAAAAAGAAAAGACCGACGAGGCTCGAAGGAATGTTTATTGGGACAAACGCATTGTAGGTGCATAAATTTAATTTGGTATACCATCTCTTCAATGCTTTAATTGCACATCATTTGCAAATTGGTCGAATATCACCACATTCGATAGCTTGTTGGATTCTACACAGTGTTTCTAACGTCATTCCTACAGTTTTCTTCTTCGATTGCGTTTTCCAGTGTCCGAAACGTATTGTTACTTTTCTGAATTCGTTTATTGATATATTACTTTTTATATCTGATTATAAGTAGCACTTACCACACTAGGACAAAATGATTTCATTCATCCGAATGTCAGATAAATCTTGACAATTTTCATGAATGATCTCAACATCTACAAATCAGTCTGTCTCAAACCCTTCTGACTAATCAAATGCATAGCTTTCAGTTCAGCAACAGATCAATCATCAGGCCGAATTTCTCAGCGGTGGGTAGCGTATGTGACTGCAAACACTGGCTGACACAGGTTCGGATCTTCAAAGGGACACCAGTTCCTAGGAGGTTGCAGATACACTTCACTGACAAGTAAGTATAAAGCACCACCAAAACCTCAGGAATACTGCTTCAACAGTTTGACGAGGAAAGTCACTCTCTCCAGAGAATCGAGTAGAACACAAACCCTCTAGTACAAAAGTAGACACACCACCATCAACTACAGAACACGCATTATTGTTTCGAAACGATACAAACTTCACAGTTAACTAGTAATCATATGAGACAAAAGACTTCGTAATTGGCTCACTACATTCCTAAACATTAACCTTGGGTGGGTGAGGTTCGTGACCACATCACAGATTGAAAAAAATCTCCGTCGATGACACACTGGTTAACGAAGACGCCACTCTTGTTGTTTGTCTTTCGAGCTTCAGCTTCGAAGTTTCAGTAGCAAAATGGTTTTATCTTCACTCTCTTTACTGGAATTAACACTGGCTTCACGAGATGAAGATAACTTCCCAGACCACATACCTGGTGGTGATGATGATGGTGGTTAGCGAGCGCATTCTACCATTAAGGCAACCACCACCGAGCGCTACATTGCGAACAGACAAAAGTTATGAATTCATGAGTCTATCACATTCACAACTACCGGTTGCAGAATGATCAACAACCTGACCTCTGAATTATCTTCAAGATCGTGGAGCTCATCGTTGGTCAGGTCATCATCATATTATTTATTACTAGTGAAAAGTCCCAAAAGCCAGTCATCTATGCTTTGTTTTGTAGGCCTTCTAGCGATTCTTTCTAAATGTTGTTAGACTGTGAAGAAATCATCCATGTTGAAATTAACCTGTAATCTGAATAAATGAAAGAACGTGCATGTATCAATGGATCAGAGACTTCTCAACCAACACCGGTTTTCCACTATTCACTATTTCTTATCACTTTGTCTCTCTCTCTCTTTTAGAAGAGACGAAGTTGAAGCCAAGACTAACAAAAACAACAACAATAACGCTTTATTCAAATTTTATAATTGAAATCTAACCAATAAGTATTAGTAATAATAATAATGAATAAATCTGAATTTCGGGTTCCTGTATGTATGTGTGTATGTACAATTATAATCGTTAAAAAACTATGTATATATAACAAATGCATCGTGGAAATAAACGCATACATTTATGTCTGTGTGTCTGTACAAACTGTGTATATACATATATATGTAATGTATACATAACAACTGTGAATAAGACAGTAATAGACATACAATAGAGAAAGACGTATGAGTCAATGTGTCAATCAACCAACCAACCAATCAATCACTCAGTTTGCCTGCCCGCCTCTGCCTGACTATCAGCCTGTCCATGATGTGAAATTTTATGTATTAATAAACTACGTCGTGACTTATAAACCTTATTACAAAGTTTACAAAGGAATATCTTTCCGAGAACAACACCCACACGATTACCGCCGCCGCTGCTGCTGCTGTTCTTCTTGGCATTCTCTTCACGATCACATTCACCTGATCTAGACGTCAACGACGATGATGATGACGTCGTCGTCGTCCGTGGTGCTGTTGAAGCGGATCCAGAAGTAGTTGGGTTATTATTATTATTATTCAACAACGACAACAAATTAGGGTTATTGTTTTTAGGTCCAGCTGGAGGAGTAGAAGATGGGAGTGTGTTGAAAAGTTAACAAACAAACAAAAATTAATTAATTGATTAATTAATTAAATAGAGAAGTGTTCCGACTGCAGCAACATACTCCTCCTCCTCCTCCACCATTCATGCTTCTCTCAAGATCCACCATCACCGAATAATATCACTTACAGAAAGAACCATTGGAAACCAATCAGGAGTACTGGTACTGGACACAGCTGTTTCGTCAGCCTAGTTCAGTCTGGGACTACTCACCAGCAGTATGCACCCGACTGCACTGCTAGGGTTCGGGCCAAGGACCTTCCGGTTACAAGGTAAACTTGTAGACCCAACACACTCAATGGCCAACCACCCATGAATACTGACCGATTTCTACCAAATCGTGATTTTAGCGCGACTGACTGACTGACTAGGCGCACCAGCTGTCTGTCTGTCTGTCTGTTTTCGACATAGAACTTTGCACAAATGTGCGGCAGTTCAAGTCGCCACACTCCGTGTAGCACGCGAAGCAAGAGAAGAAAGTACAAGAAAAGCATAATAGAAACAGTGAGCAGAGGTGTGAGACAAAGGAGTAATAGTCTAGTCTGGTAATCCAATTTAGAACCAAGGTTCAACTTACTTAACACTGTTTTCATCATCTTCCTACCTCTCACTTGTGGCTGACTCGTACACAATTTGACAGATATTATAACCATTTAGGCTCTCTTGCTTCCATATAATATATGTGTATGACAAGTACTCAAGTCTGTGTGTCTGTGATTAGAATCTCTGAGATGTGTTACGCAAATACATTACACACTTCAGATAAATCACGCCGTCTTTTTGTTTTGTCGAGATCTTGAAGGAGTCGATGCCCTACTGCTCTTCCACACCCACCTCCAACTCTACCTCCTTCTACATGCAGACGAAGATTCAGCTTCAAACCCACATCACCATCCTACCGTTTCAGAAATCTGATTTCCCAACACACTCAACTTAAAGTCTCTTCTGTGTAATTCACTCATTTATTCAATATGGTGGATTATGCAGCGTCGTCGGATTCAATTAAGCTCACAAATTCGCGTACACCTACAACAGGCATTATGCCCTGAAGTCGTTGACAGTCTTAAAATTCAAATGACTATCTGTCAGGCAATGATGATTGAATCGAAATCCCACAACAACAACAACAACAACACAGTGAAGTCATTTACGCATATAGTGCAGACATTTTGAATTATCCACCCAACAATATCATTAAAATCATTTACTCATCTCTTTTCCGAGTATGTGTGTGAGTTCATTTTTTTAGGAAACAACATTAAGTGTCAAATCATGATGCAAGTTAGAGTTCAGCACACACAATAAATACAACCACTTTTGGTCACTTTCATTTTACGCTACTACTGTGGTGAGAGCAGGCTGCTAGCCAATCGGTAGACATTAATCTACGTCGATGTCTAGGTCACTAAAATTGGCCGTGAGAAAATATGAACAAGGCTGATTCAACAACCAATCACAGCAGACTCACAAGTGGGCAAATATGATTCGCAGATAGATGGCTCCACTTTCCGAGAAACCTCGAAAACAACCAATCGGAAGACTGCGTTTGTCTACTTGCATAAGCTAAAATAATGTACAGGAAATATATATAAATACGTGTTGATTTCCGTAATAAAAGTATCTGTTGCGGCCCCTTGTCTTCTGTTGTTACACTACTATTACTATTATTAGGTAAACGGATTGCTGGGTATTAAATTGCTGGACGGTGGTGACTAGCAGTGGAACCCAGTCAGGATGCGCATTTTGTCCTGTTTGAGACTCATCATCTGGGTGTACCTGCATTTCTCAGTTAGCGATGATGTTCCCACTGAGGCTCAAACGTGGCTAGAAGCATCTGCACAAGAAGCCGACATGCCAACCTGAGATCGAGCATTTCGGTCCAATCAATCAATCGAAGGGAAAACCTACAAATTCAATTAGATTACTGGATATTTATTTTACTACAATCACCTTTCATTTTCACCTTCAAAAACCAAATGCAGACGCAAAGGTGATGTACATTTTTTATCGACAGATCGGCTCTTACAACGACTTCTGATGGCCAATGACTCAGTAGCCAGGTGTTTTTGTTCATTTTTCCCTGGGACCCGATCCAATGGAAAACCCATGAAAACTAACTTTGGCCTAACCACGACATACAGCGACCTGCTGCACTCTACTGGTCACGACTTCTCCCTAGAACTCCAGGAAACTACCTACCTGAATAGGGTAAGTCCCCAGTGAGCATCTTATCGATATTCAAGTGTTGGTTTGTTTTGCGGTCCCAGTGAAGTCCCAAACTAGGATCCTGTAACTAAATCTTCAATGTAGTTGTCGAAAGGAGGAATTAGGCAGACTCATTGATGACTCAGTTCTTCAGCACCTTTTATTCATTACATTCAGGCTTTACTTATTCGCGAAGTTACACATCACCTTCAATGGGTTGACCTCAACACAGATACAAAACACTTGAGTGTGTGTGTGTGAGGTGGAGGTATTCACTGAATTGAAAGACATCTATCGCATAGAGGTGATATATCCGGTCGACTATCGATCAAAGGATGTGTATACTCTGCGCGTAACACAGTTCACTCCATCCCTCCTTTATTGTAGTGAAACATGATCATTGACTGGAGACTATTGCTGACACCTGACTTAATATTGTTCCCAGTAGCACAGATGAATTCCATTCACTCTATCTGGTCTCATATCTATAAAAACCCTTTTGTTGTTGTTGTTGTTGTTCCATGTTACTATTCCTTCTCCCCCAAATTTTCCACTTATTATGCTACACTTCTAAATCCTTCTTTTTCTTTTCACTCCCCTTTGTGTGCTAAATGGACGAGTGTGCGACTATTTTGACTCCTACCTACAACACTTTTCAGTGAAAATTTGTACACGTTAAAACGTTGTCATCAATGAGTCTATATATCATCAATAAAAGCATCTTTCAAAGTGATACATCAGCTAAAGAGACTACTAAGTCGGTGTCAAAGAGGATACACCATCATCAACTACATCGTCTGTCGTCCACAGTAGAAGTGCATGTTAGTTATCACATAACGTGTTGTTAACCGTCAATTGGGCGAAGAAAGGAAGGAAGCAAGGAAGAGTGTTCAAGCAGCTATCTCAAAGCTTGTCACACAGTCGTCGTCAACAGAGTGTTTCAGCTTACAAAATACACATTAATGAAAGAAACACAAAAACAAGAAAAAGAAAAATTCTCACTTCCTTACCATCATTTGTTTCAATCATACGATTCCAATCCAGTTCTGACGTTCCAAGTCCATGCGCAAGGGTCATATGACGCAGAAATGAAAACTGAACAGTATATGTTTTATTTCGACACAGGTAGCATCTAGTTGAATGGATTTGAATGAAAAGGAAACGCACACAAAGACGGAAAGTTAGGGCGCGTACAGAATATAACTATATATTTATATATACACACATAACACATAAAATGGAACAGCAAGAGGTTGCGTGTATACCGAAACAGACTTCGTGGTTAATTAAAGACGGTTCATCACACAGAAACCCCTCGCATCACTTCTGAAACTTTCCACTTACGATGACTACACAGCGCCTACTTTACAATAATAAACCGAAAACAAAAACATGGTGTCATAGACTACTGATTAACTGGTATGAGTAGTTGGACACCAAATCGACAAACAGTGCTTGCTAGCCAGCCAGCCAGATCGAAGCAACACAGACGTCGTTTCACTGGTTTTCGGGCAGCAGCGATGAATTCAGTTCAGGGAGGCATCCACCCCCACATCAGTTCAAATCAAACAAATTCTGGTTGACTACTTTCTTCCCCAAACTAGCAGTAGTAATACACGCTGGATCGAATTTCCAATTTGCAGAATAATCCGTAACTTCCTATTCGGAAAATAGAATAAATTTGGCCGTATAGTTCACAATACGCAGAGTTCAATAGAATAGGGACACCGATGCTGGGACACAGAAGCGCTGACCGCTTGATTAACGCCAACAACCTTTATAGTGTGTTGAGAGCTGGCTGCTAGCCAAAGTTGGTAGACAGTAATTTACGTGAATGCTTGTTTATGTCCCCAATACAGTTAACATATAGATGATCTGACATTCAAGAAACAGCCACAAACAGATGCAAGGTTAACTTTCTGTGAGAAACAACCAATCAGAGGACTGTTTTTCTGATAACAATAATCTATAAATATGTGTAGATTTCCTTAATAAACGATCTGTTGCCTGGCTGGCTCTTGTCTTCTGTTGTCACAATAGTACAGCTGGCTATCTATTTCCCCTACCCCGCTGTATTTAAGCCAAAACATGCAACCCTGCACATCACATGAGGAGCATATTTAGCAGTATCCGGATAAGAAGCCTAAGCGTAAATATGCTGACAGAAACAATCATGTGTTTGATCAATGGATAAATATCCACCTGGCCAAGAACGCCAGGTGTAACAGGAAATATCCAGACTGACACCTCCCTTGTACAATCTCATCATACAGACATGTGACATGTCTCACTCTATACATCATCATTTGGTCCACTCAACATTGTCTCTTACCTGATGATATCAGCATCGAAAGGATGATGATAGAAGCAAAGCCTACACAACCACACGAACAGAATGTGGAGGTGGCAAAGGAGGAGAGAGACAGACAGACAGGAAGATGTAATGAGAACTTTCAGACACACAACCGGAACTTAGTATACACTTACATTATTGAGCAGTGTTAGTCGGTCAGTGAGTTGGTTAGTCACAGTTAGTTAGTTGCTCGCAAAAAAGTGCTTACATCTCATCCTGTGGCATAATCACCACCACCAACACCATCACTCAATCAATAATCAACTACTGTTCCTCCAGAATTCATTGTCAACCTCAATTACAATAAACAGACAGTAATGTGAATTGCCTCAAAAATATATAAATACATAAATACACATACATTTGTGATGACAATGATTATCAAACATCATACTGTGTGTGTGTGTGTGTGATAACAAAATAGCTTGTGTAATAATAATAACATAGAAGAAATAGCCCCCCACAGAATAATGAATGCATGACTAGTAGAAAGGTGTGTAGAATTATTCAGATTAGTAGTAGTAGTAGGGGCAAATAAAGCATTGTGTAGCAACAAAAGCCAAGCTGTGGTGACAACAGTTCTGATGAGACGAAAACAACAACAGCAAGAACAACATTTCAAAGACCAATTGACATTTATTGGATCAAATAAGTAAGACAAGACAAAAGAGAAAAGGCAACAAGTGACATCGTATGTCGGGAAATTCGCAGTTTGCAATTTTTACACACACACACACATTTCAAGTGGAGACCAAGTTATTTCGATCACAATATTGTGTGGTGTCTCTCTGATACTATGCATGAATGGTAATCACAGGGGAAGGCGAGAAAACTAGCACACTACTGATTGATTGATTGAGATGAGTAGCTGTATGCCATTGAGTCAAACGGGGCAGGGTAGGGTAGGTACACCGCCGCTGACGAGTGCGATCTAAAATGAACGAGACAGCTGTCCAATGTTTAGGTCATATCGATCCGGCTGGGATGGCTAGTGAGTATTGCTCGGTTCACATGAGTAGTAATGCAACTACCTACTACTACTACTACTGTGGTGAGAGCAGGCTGCTAGCCGATTGGTTGGCACTAATCTACGTTAAGGTCTAGGTCACTAATATGGGCCGTGAGAAAATATGAACAAGCCTGAGTCAACAACCAATCACAGCAAAGTTAACGTGGCAAAATATGATTCGCAGAGAGAACTCTATTTGTCAAGGAATCCCGAAACAACCAATCAGAAGCCTGCGTTTGTCTACCTAAACAACCAATCAGATGACTGCGCTTGTCTATAATAATGTAGTTGAAAGATGTATAAATACGTGTTGATTTTCATAATAAAACGATCTGTTGCCTGGCCCTTGTCTTCTGTTGTTACATTTGGTGTCGCTGCCTACCGACAAATGGAAAGCCTATGCCCTGCTGTTTTCGATGGAGACATATGGATCTTCGGGCAGGACTTCAAGGCTTCTGCGCAGTTGAGTGGCGTTCAAGATCTGTCAGCGATGGAGCTGCTACTTGGGACGCTGCTGGGAGGTCGGGTGAAAGCAGCATATGAAAGTGTGAGCCGAAGTATGGACGAATGTTCGACAGGGTCAGGCAAACAGTTTCCAAAGTGGGAAGGACCATATATGGTCACTTCGAGATGGGGTTACGCAGACACAGTCGCAATGGCGAACAATAAGAGGCGCGTGAACGTCAGCCAGCTCCAGAAATGGATACAGCGAGACAAGCCAACGATGACGCCTGCACCAAGTAGATCAAGCCGACTTCAGTCGCACGTATTTGACGGGGGGACGAGTGTGGTGAGAGCAGGCTGCTAGCCGATTGGTTGGCACTAATCTACGTTAAGGTCTAGGTCACTAATATGGGCCGTGAGAAAATATGAACAAGCCTGAGTCAACAACCAATCACAGCAAAGTTAACGTGGCAAAATATGATTCGCAGAGAGAACTCTATTTGTCAAGGAATCCCGAAACAACCAATCAGAAGCCTGCGTTTGTCTACCTAAACAACCAATCAGATGACTGCGCTTGTCTATAATAATGTAGTTGAAAGATGTATAAATACGTGTTGATTTTCATAATAAAACGATCTGTTGCCTGGCCCTTGTCTTCTGTTGTTACACTACTACTACTACTACTACTACTACTACTGTTACTACTCGTCTCAATCACCAATCAGTAGTTTATAGTTTTATATCGGAGAAATGGCTCAAAGTGTTCTGAGTAATAAAATACCTATCGAAAAATAATAAGAGGTGGAGTGTAAACAACAAATCGATAAAATAGGAAAAGTTAAAATATCACAGCCAAAACTCCAGTGACTTTTAACACCCAATCGATCATCAGAATTCAGATACAAAAACGGTTGCATCGTCGTTGAAAAAAGGCACTAAAAGAAAAAACCCACTGCAGACGTGACATTACACCATACAGTTGTCGTTTATGTGTTGTAAGAATGTCTTTCAGTCGCTGCACAGATGATCTGTGATCTGATCTGATCATACCATACTCGATAGATGCATTCACTCAGGTGAATGAACGTAAGGCGGCCATGATACCTTGAGATCCATTGATCCATTGTGACACTGTTCTTTAACCTACCAACACCTCCTAACCCTCACAATAATCCTAACTCCTTATCCGAACTTCGACCCTAATTCTAACCTCAACTCTACACCATAAACCTCGCTTGCTTTTAAAAGCCATAACCCTAACTAACAGTAGAGATCTGCAGAGAAAGTACCTAGAGAATAAGTAGAATGCTGTGTCTACCCTCTCCAAGTCCAAAAAGCCAAGCATGATTCAATTTGGAATAACCTTTCACAGCAATCACTGCATCTACTCATTGACTGTTGAAGGTGGTCAACTTTTGAAAGACTTTCACTTTTCGGGCTATGCTACTTTAACTTCGCCGATAATTAAGTAGATAAACGCCAATAAGTGTCAACATGCACCTACATATTCTCCTATTTCGCTAGCCAGGCGGACACTTGGTAAAGCCAGCCAGCCAATGTACTCACTCAACTAACTCCACACCAGGAGCAAATCAACTGGTGTATTATGTATTCTATGCTCATATGTTAATGTGATCACATCAAACTTTTTCAAAAGAGGGATGAGATCAAGACGTTTACACGTAGTAGCAGTAGCAGTAGCTGAAACACTAGCGATCCAAATGAATAAATAAATAAATAAGGCCGAGGTAGAAATAGGGAATGAACATAAACACGCACACGCACTTTATCTTATCCCAACTTTTTTCACCTGATTATTCGCCTGTTATCAATCCCATGAATAGATAGTTTTACACTCCTTTTCTAAGATGTATACACGCACACACAGACATTCCATGAATTATTTTTATTAAAATCTCACCAAATCATTACAATGATAATAGCAGTAATCAGAACAGCACACAGAATAGTGTTCAAACTGATCTTACCACTTACCACTAGATATTGAAGTAGGAAGACAAAAATCAAAATGGAAAAGCCAGAAAGACTTGACAGTCACGCATATATACGTACATGTAATATCAATTCAGTGAGATTTAATTTATTTGAGAATGGTATCATAGACGGAAGGTGCACACACATACCCATAAAGTAACATCTAGGAGTCCCACAATTGAAAACTAACAGAAAGAAAGAGGTGGTGGCAGAACGGAAAAACGTCTATACTAGTCATGAAGTTCCGAATTATGTACGCGAGTGAGATGTGACAGCCTGATTGCATGGTTTTGATTCGTTTATTTGTGGCTTAATTTTCTGAGGTTTTGTGAAAATATAATATGCCATGCATTTTATCGAATACAGGCAGTTGATATCGTTTTAGACGTCGTCTTACTCAGTCCGACTTTCATGTCTCCCTGAGTGCTAGAGATAATTTCAAGACATCAATTAGTTGCATGGTGGTGTGGTGTTTTAGAGGTGTATTCTAGTCAAGTCAGACGAACCTAAAAATCGTCAGTAACGCTTTGCATCATAGCATATGGGTTATTGATATCTCCTACCACGGGAATGAATCATTCACACTCATAATTACAAATGAGGAATTGAATACGGGAAAAACCTTTTCAAGGTAAATCACGAAGTAACACTGAAAACCAAGGAGTACTACTGGATAGTTTGTTTTGTCCTACGTTGAGGACTCTTCGACAAAAAGCACTTATAACCACATAGGGGAGTGAACTTTTGAGCCTTCTACCCACTGGATGCGTGTCGTTGAAGAATTGCAAACTGGAACGAAACAGCTATCCAGTCAATCAGGTTTGAAACAGAGATTGAAAGTCAAGTGCTTCAGTGAGAATAACCTATATCTAGCACAAATACAGCTGATCCACTGGAAGGAAGAGTGATGATGTCAACAATAGATGACTACCACGACGTTATTTGAATACTAAACTGGAGATAATCACCATCATTACGTTCCAATCCTCATTCATAAATCATTTCAAGCGAAGAAAATTAGGTAGTCCGCCTCAATCTCCAGAAACCACATCTGAGTGACTCAATCAAAATCAACTGCAATCGCACACACACACACACATCCTCTCATTACTCAACAATGAATGGCAGTCATACATCTTAGTAAAACCTTTAAAGATAACTTCATCGATAATGGAAATTTTATTTGATTCTTGCTTCATGACTCAATGAGTACTTTCTGTCACTTAGAAGGACACATGATAATGAGACAATCTTGGATAGTGATTTAGTCGCCAGAATACTACTAGTAAAGCCCCAATGGGGAGCGGCCACTTTGCATCCTCAGCTGCCATTCACATGTGGAGTGTAGTTTAACAACAACAACAACGACATGTCGGATACCATCTGACACTTCTTAACTGTTGTTGTCCATTGAAAATTATTTCTTTCATTTCTTGCCTAACGAGAGCGACACAGAGCTTCAAGCTTCAGACTCAGGATTTTCCACAGTGGTGGGGGGAGGCTGTTAACGTCGCGGCCAACCTCCCACCTTTACCAGACCTAATACCACCGACTAGTAAACACTAGGAGGCGAGTTACGTCTAGAACTCCATCGACTGGAGATCAACTACCTACGGGTGGCTGGCTGGCTGGCAAGCATAGCGTAGCACACTACCAATGACGAAGGACCGATTCAAATTTAGACGAGATGGAAATCCCTTTTTCTCAACACACATAACCCACAATGATACATAATATCGTCAAAAGAAAACAAACATAATAACTAAATCACTCACTTATAAATTACCACAGGTACAGACGAATTCGATACAGCTCCACTTGGTATTATTGGTCTATCAGACACCGACCTGAAATAAGTAAAATTCCAAATTTAGATGTCGTATTCACGAATGGACATTGTTTAGAGAAGAAGTGAAAGGCATGCAGAGAGAGCTGACCCGTCCCTAGTAAGCGTGTCTTCATAGAGTGCACAACCATAACACCTCCATTGTGGATCGAAACCAGGGCCCTTCGACTGACAAGGCCTGGTCATTAATAACTCAATCAATAGGTTCGAATTTAATCAGCTGTGAATTCTATTCTCCGTCAAATTTGCGATGATAAAGTGTTAATGCAATCACCAGTGCCACACAGATGAGCATACACATCACGCCCACGACATGGTGAAACCTCACCGGCGACGACATCCGTTAGACCACCTTAATGACACCTACTCGTTAAGCACTAACAACAAGGGACAGCAGATTCATCATATTCACATTTCGATTAATCTCGAATGAACAGGGATTTCTTGATACTACTTGTAGACTTATTCAAGTGGTGGTGAAATATATAACCACTGAGCAATTTAGTCAAATAAAAGTTAATGAGATGGGAAAAACGCACAACTGCAAAGACTAAACACTCATTGTCATGACAATGTCGTCATAATGCCAGCTCCTACAGTAACACTACTCTCACACTTCTGCTTGTAATTCAGCAGTCAGATATTCTTTCTGCTGTGTTATTCTACATGAAAGTTGACAACTAACAAATGGATCATTTCGTATTCGCGGAGAACACTTTTGAAATGCAACAGAATTGTTATGCTATGATTCCTTCAAAAATAATGTGAAAGTTCTATCCAGAGACAGAGCGTTCCCCTTCAGTAAAATTAATCAACGGGGAATTCAAACGGTGACTGTGAGGATGGACAAGCTTCCCTTGTAGGCCATCATGATCCATGCGTGATAACCCTATTCAACAGTCTCTGATTCGTTTACTTATGGTGGCTTAATTTTGTCATGGATTTCGATGTCATACAACTAATCATACTTGTCTACTTTATTATTCATGGCTGAGGGTTTGTAAATACAATATGGCCTGTACTTGGTCTAATAAAGTATTCATACTAGTCGTCGTTTTTCCCAGACTGGCTTTTCTTTCTATTTCAGTATACCAGATATTTTCAACTATCGTCTTCTCTTCTGGTCAAATTGAACGAACTGATTTTGCCATAAAAGTGGTCCTCTTGGCTCTGTAATCTTCGTGAATACCACCACCACTTATTGAGGTGCATACATATGTGTGCACAGCTGACAAGACGAAAATAGGACAAAACTCATATTCACTCTGGATTTCTGCTGGAGTGGAGCTTGAATGTTGAAGATACTGAACTACATGTTATCAACTAGTCAGACTGCAAGTAGTAGTACTTTGGAACTAAAGTAATTATAATCTATTATATTGATTTACATCATTTCATGCACAGATGATTAGCTGTTTTCGAACTGAAAAAGTCTCCTTATTATTTCAAAGGTGAAGTTTACATTTTATTGATAAGAGAAAATCTTCTGATACTGTTGTGACAGAGTGTTACTAGCCGTACACTAGCGGAGGAACAGTAAAGAATAGACGACACCAAAGTCAAATAATCTTCAATCGACCAATCGGATCGCTCAACATTACAAATGGATGCGGTTCATAGTTACTCTTTGTTGCAAGTTTCACCAAGATTTGCTTTTCGAGTTTTTTGTGCAAAATGCACACGCATATGTGGTTGAGGGATAATGACTCTTCAGAAGTACTCCCTGGCGGCTATTACTGATGGCGGTTATACACTCAATGTTATATGAGGAAGTCTGTAGGAGTTGGTAAGTTGTACATTATGCTGATGTTTTTAGATACTTTCTTCTCCAAATCGAAACCCTGCCTTAGCCTTAGTAAAATATCAAGTGTATGACAAAATTGTCTACTGACACGACCAGAATCTGCTGCAGCTGTGGAAACTGAGAATACTAAAATGTCAACAGGGCAGTGGTATCAGCAACACAGTCGGAATATCGCCACACAAAAGATCAATGCGACTACTTCTGTACTTGGAGCAATAGGTGTCGTCGTTCATATTGACCAAGCAATCTTTATTACACGAAAAATTGAGTCGCCGCCGTAGGAGAAGAGGAAACCACGTGTTGGGTCCTAGAACTGACCGTACGATACAAATCATAGAAAAGGATTGGTAGAATGCATCCCAAACAGAAGTACTGATGTCTTAATACCAATTATATAACAACTAGTCCTCCCAGGAACTAATATTCACACACACACACACAAGTGGAGACCTTATTCGCAACTATTACATACCTCACTAGGCTAAATTCACCATTAAGGCAATAATTATTCTGAATAAGTAGAACTCATACAAGTTCTATTGAAGGAAAAGCATATCAGAATGGTAAATGATTCCAGAAATGATATTGTATACAACTTTGAGATAATTTCTTCCTTTTATACAGGATAAGGAAAACAGAATACTGATTAGTGGTCGCGCTATATCATGAATTGGAAGAGGTTGGAATTCATGAACTGGCTAAGTGGCTTAATGGTCTACGAGCTTACTAGCCTTATAAGGGGAAGGTACTGGGTTCGATCTTCAGTGGGGTGGGTGCCTACTGCTGAAGTGTCACACACTAGGACCGAACAGCCGTTTGGAGCAGTACTCCCCCAGCTGGTTTTCCAATGCTTCTCTAACTGATGCCAGCTCATGACGAAATCGTGTAAACAATCAAATCAAATCCTTGCAAAACAACACATGAAATTACACTAAAACCTACATTTCAGTAACATTTGTATCATCCCAACTACGTGATATGCCTCCACTGACCTGCTGCTCTTGCGCCCCCCAGTCAATACAAGGAGTAGTAGTAGCAGAATTATTAGTTGAACTATATTCGTCATTATCATCACCTCCAGCACTAACACCACCAACACCTTCAATACTGCGATGACAACTACCTTGTACGCTGTTGTCGTTGCTGCAATCACCTTTGTTTAATGATAGGGATAACCGTTTATGAGATGTACTTCCACAAGATTCTGAAGTTGTTGTTGCTTTCCTCTTTAAAGATTTATTATCAAATATTTTATGTACATATTCAATAGCACTACTACATGAAGGAAGAGGAGCGGAAGCAGCAACAACAACAGAAGTATTCGTAGTAGTAGTAGTAGTAGTAATAGCGGTAGCAGGAGCAGCGGTAGATAACAATGACGACGAGTTGGAAGTCATAGGAATGGTAGTGGTGCTGACGCTGGTCGAAGAGATGGCGTCAGTTGAAATATTAGATGATAAATATGTTTCATTGATATCTTGTATCTGAGTTGAAGAGGAACCCACATCTGAACACTTCTTATCAGCATTATTGGTCATCTTCTCATGTTCAGGTGAACTCACAATAGTAAGCGCAAAATCATTGAAATTTTCACCGGGATCATGACAATCAGAACCTATTTTTGTTTGACAACAATAACAGAAAAGAAGCAGAACAAAAAGAAGAATAAGAAAATACACTTAACAGTAGTGTATTACAATTTAAGTCAAATAACCCAGAACAAATAATCGTAATTTTCTCATACAAAACAACGATATTAGGTAGTTTACAAATTGATTCCTTTACGTTACGAATGGAGTATTGGGGGCGGGTGGGGGGCACTTCAAGGTTCAGCTTTGAAGTTTTGTTAGCAGTGGTGTTTGTTTTTTTCTCTACAGAGTGGCTTTGTTCGCCTGATAGACACTAGCGACTGGCCAGATTCAGGAAGGTAGTTACCAAGGTTCATGTGAGAAGTCAAGACCAGTGGGGTTCCACAAAGTCCGAGTATGACGACAGACACTCGCCGGTGACATTGGCTAGTGCCAACCGTGCTATACCGCGAATTGGAAGAGGTTGGAATTAATAAACTGGCCATTGGGTCAGTTCGGCGTCAAGTGACTTAATGGTCTACGAGATCCTTAGCCATATAAATCGAAGGTACTGGGTTCGAACTTCAGTGAGGTGGGTGCCTACTGCTGAAGTGTCACAGACTAGGACCGAACAGCTGTCTGAGAGTACTCTTAACTACTTTCCAGATGGTTCTCTAAATAAAGCCAGACAATGCTAAAATCCAGTAACCAATCGAATCAACCCCCTGAAAACCAACACTGGGACGTGATTGGTTGTTCAAGTTTATTCGATTGATCGGACGCTTCCATAGGTTGTTGTAATCTATGTTTACCTATCTACCAGGTATACAATGTCTATTATTATAACCATAAACGGAAGGCCAAACATTCTAGGTACTTCAAGTAAAACACCTCAATTCTGAACGTTTTATACGAAGACACACATACACCTCCTACCTACCTAACCAATCAAATATCAGGAGTATGTGATGAGTATGGATGACTAACCGACTGACTGAATGACAAGTGATTAATTGTCAGGTCTGATTTATTGTAAATGTTGCATTGGTGAATAGTACTCGTTGTTTTCAAATGATTATTGAGAGAGAGAGAGAGTGAGTGAGAGTTCATACAATTTCATCTTTTGTCCGAGCAGTGTTCATCATTCAAACAACTAGACTAAAACTAATCATCAGCGCAATTGTGTGATTACTGGCCAATTAATTAGTAATCAGGTCAGTTTAGTCTTACTTGATAAAAAAGTCAGTTAATGTAGACGACAATAAGGTGGAATACAAGCAATTCGAGTGGCTTTCAGAAAACCCTGAATGATAACTAATACCCGTTACCTGTTGCACAAGAGGATGGAGCTCGTCGCCCACGCAGGCGGTGGCCCATTGGATTTTTATTTATTTTTTTATTTTCGATTACAGCTTGATTCCACACTGTATTTTTGGTACAAGTATGGAATTTTCAGCGTGGATATCGGTAGCCCAAATTTCGCAGGCCAACCATAGATATCAGGTGTGAGTCGGCGTGGGCTCGAATCCCGGACCATGTGCATGGTCGGCGAGAGTCCTAACCACTGTGCCATCGACGCACTATGGCTACTGGTTCGAGCCTCAGTGGAGTGGACGAAAACCATCACTCGCTGAGGAGGGATGCAGGTACAGCTAGTCGATAAGTCAGTCCCAAATACGACCAAATGGTGTAAGTGCGTGTGTGGGAGGTGGGTGGGTTTCACTGCTAGTCACCATCATTCATCAAATTACTTCAAATTCTTAACCAAGTTTGAAAATACGAAATTTGTTAGTAGTTATGAACATGTGAATGCCTGAAATCTACTATCCTATGCTTCCAAGCCATTAATCCAAGGTAATGGTTAAATGCATAAGATGTTACATGACTGGAAATAATAATCAAGGGGAATCTCTAGACCTACGTGAAAGGAAACACACATATGGTTAACAACACCGGTACTTCTGATGAAAAATAATAACTGTATTCGGGACAATGAATACATCAGTACTAATATGAGTGATTTTGTATCATCCCATCGACGGTCTCCAACCATTGACTTTTATCAGCGTCAAACGTAAATAGAGGCAGAAGTAGGAATTCTATCGGTTTCACGTTAGATGACGAACTAACATCAGTTAGACAACTTTTGACATCCAGAGAGCTCAATCCCCAGTGGAGTGGGTCATAAGTGCATACTGCTGAATTGTCGAAAACTAGGACGAGACAGCTGTCCTATACACGTCCGTTTCCAGTGACTCTTTCAACTGATATCAGTTTGTGATCTAACTTAAATTTGTATTTCGTTCTGATCCAGGAGATGGTCACAATGATAGCGCATATCATCCATCACATTGAGTAAAGTCTCAATCATCAGTAAATATTGAGTATACCACCACCTTCTTGTGGTAGTCGAATTATCTTTACCTGGTTGGAGGCTCACAGTTTAACCATCTCCTACACAGCACCATTCTGCACCCTCTTCTCTCTCTCGCTCGCTCGCTATTTTTCTGATATTATTTTAACAAGAAGAAGAGGAAGAAGAAGGCTGGTCTTTTATACACACGGAACAGTACCACCACCAAAATACTAGGCGTGTGCTCTGTCACTGTTTATTAGAATATGCATGTTATGTAATCCCTACTCAACATGCATCAATCTTGCTTCATTAATTTCAAATATCTAATCAATTTTCGACTTCCATTTTCGAAAGTTAAAGACTTGGAGAAGCTAACTAGCTAGCTAGCTACTTTTGACCAAAGGATTTCTGTCTTGTCTTACTTCTTAAGTTTGACAAACACTCGCCGATGACATTACATTGCCTAGTGCCAGTTGCGCTATGTCGTGAACTGGAATAGAAGTTGGAATGCATAGGTCAGAAGGTCATGACTTCGAATCCTGGAGGTAAGTGCATGAATGCCGTCGAAGAGTCCCAGACTAGGCTCACGAGGAGGCTGTCCAGTAACAGTACTCCCACCTACCTGGCTTACCAATCATTCTCCCACCGATATTACCTCATGATGAAATCCTTCCTGTAATCTCTTTTCCCTTTATCGAGACCCAATTAGTCCTCAAAGAATTATGGGTTACACAGTCGTAGGTGGCATATTTAGTCAAGTCAAAAAGCTGATTGATACTCATAAACAACAATAAAGCAAAACAACAAGTGCATATTACTGTCACGCACGTGGTCATCAGTACGATGTATGTACATACGTCACCACCATCATTAACAACAACCAAAAGAAAAAAGAATTTATTACCATTATCATAATTGTAAGAATATCTTGGTAGCTCACTTTCACTACGGTCTAAATCAATTTCCCTAATGAACAGCTGCTGCTGGTCGGGGTGGTGGTCGTGATGGTTGTCAACATCATTCACACGAAGACCAGCTTTCGTCAATGATGATGATGATGATGGTGCTGACGACATTGACAACGAAGACATTGAAGGAAATGGACCGTGTTGATGATGATGACTATTATTCAGGAGATCACGGCGTTGATTCATGCACTGAAAAATGTGATCCCATAAATTAGCCGATATTTCCATTGAATGTGGCACGATAATCTCAGTCGGTGGTGTCGGTGTCGCTGTTGTGGATGTTGATGCTATCTTCTTCGTGGTCATCAAAGAAGATGGAGATAAAGACGACGAAGACGAAGAAGCGATAGTTGGTAAAGATGACATTGATGGACAGGCATTTGGCATCTGTACATTCCCATCATCAGTACTGATGTCTAACGAAGGCGAATTCTCATCAGAATTGAATGTGTAAATACAACAAATATAGCATAAAGTGCCCTAAAAATAAAATTATTATTTCTTTGTAACAATCAATTCATATCACATAATAAAATTACGATAAGATAATACAAGTGTACAGTGCAAAATATCAACATTCAATCGCCAATATTTACGCCAGATGCAGTTTTCCAACAATAGTTCCCTGTTCAAGTCTTTGAACCATCAACGGTATTGTGTAACGCCGGACGACAATGTCAACTGCACTGCACACCTGGCCGCGGTGGGAACACCATCAATGACTCACTGAGGAATCCAGGTACATCCAGCTAGTTGACGAGTGAGTCCCTAATAGAACGAAATGCGCATCCTGCTAGACTCCACTGCTAGTCACTATCCATCAATTAATTTTCTCTAATCATTCGCATAAATATATTGGCTGACAGAAGAAGGCCCGAGAGGACGCTTAGTGCTATGACGATATGTTTTGCCGTTAAACTGAAACTGCACGTTTATCGTACACCGCGTAGTAATCGTAATACTACACAAACAGTCACCTGTGTATCTCCTACTTCACCAGATATATAAATGTATAGCCTGTTGTAAATACTTATAGAGTGTAACGTGAACACCAAGTCTTCAACAGACTAAGAAGTATTGACTTGACATTGGTGTTAAAATCCGGATCTTGTCATTGTAACTAAACGCTGTGGATCTCTTCACAGTGTTTTCAAAGTGATGTGAATATACCGGTTGGCTAATTTGAATTAAACATCGACTAACTAACTAACTAACTAACCAACCAACTAACTGACACTTCATTACCGATGGGTGCTACTTAACTTCAGAGAAAAGTATCTCTAAATCAGAGATAGACAGACAACTCTGTAAACTAAAAAATGAATTATTATTACAAGGTAAAAGACACGACACACGAACAAACGAACACAAAAGGAAGCCAACACCTACCCAATGCTCTGAAAATGCATGCTGTGTTAACGCCCAACGAGTACACAGCACTGTGGGACAAATAGGACATGTAAAGGTTAAGCTTCCTTTAGTTGCTTCTAAAAGGTGGGCGTCAAATTGTGGAGAAACACCAAATCGTAGCTACATTAAATTTTTTACGATGAAACAGAATAGGAGAGAGAAGGAAATAAAAGATGAAGTGGGTGTACAGGGAATCACTTAAAAACAAAACAATCGTCTAAGTGCTACACATTAACCTGCGAACAGAACAAATAGAGTACTTAGGTCACGAGCTGACACATCACTCAGAGAACTATTAGAAAACCATAGAGTATTGAGGACAGCTGTTTCATCCCAGCCCAACCTACAACCTCATTTCTTGGTGTACCCCGCTGGTCACAATTCCCCATATATCACGAATCAACAGAAATTGGAATTCATAGACCGTTGAATTAGGTCCTATCATTGGCTGAATGAACTACAAGATCACCTTGTAAGCAGGAACTCCTGGGTACTAACCCCGATGGGCGTGTACTGATCAAGAGTCACACTCTAGGATTAAAACCCGCTGTTCACCTCAGAGTAAGTAAGTCAGGATGTACAATTAATGGAGTAGACGTTTTATAACCTCCTAGTTAACCAGAGTTGGGTGGCAATATAACCCAACTGAGAGAAACATCTTCCTGCTGTTACGATCCACTACTCGTCAGCAAAACAAAATTCACCTTCACAGACTCTCAAACAATGCATAAGACACCTACACAATCATGGAAACTACTTCAAGTTTGACCATGCTGCTATGCAAACAATCTTCCTTACACGTCAAGATGTATGCAAGAACATTCCTTCTAATCAAGACAACAGAGCTCGTTGAGTCATTTCGATATGTGGGAGACCGTTGATACCGCCATGTCTCAGGAAACAACATGGTCAGATAACATAATTCACAAGAAACTATACATAAATAAAACACCTAATAAAATCCTTAAGGATAACGAAAAATAATGAAGGTAAATTGCGTAAAGCAAAAGTGTAATCTTTGTGTTATGTTCTGCTGCTGAGTGGTTAATAGTAGTTTTCCCCGTCGCCAAATTGTTATGTACTCGTCGCTAAATTATTGCTATGTACTGGTCGAGAATTTAATAGTCCTGACGCAAGAAGGCGGAAATCAGAAGACCACTAGGTTTGCGATGATACTTCTATTTTCCAAACACAAGGAGAAGCAATAAGTGGTATCACACCAAAGTAAGTAAGTCACACAAATTGTGAGAGCGAAATATATATGACCATCCAGACAAGGGTGTGAACAAATCAATAGACAGTCTTAACATGAATGGCTAATTATAATGGAGTGTCGATCCATATATATACATAGCAAAATATATCAGACATGTCAACAACCACCATATATGGATATATGTCACCAAGCAACGGACTGTCAACAAACACTCATATTATATTATATATAATATAAGGGGAATATACATTGTTAAGGAGACAGGTTCATCAAAGTGAAATGGTCACAGACTACGCGAGCAAACAGAAAGAGAGACCAACATACATATATATATATATATATATATATTGTATATATATATATATATATATATATGGATATATATCCTTTTGTCATATGAACATTGAGGTAGAGGAAAGATTGTGAAAGAAAACAGGTGAGGGAAACATTCTCTTATTGGTCACTAGGTAGTAACACTAATCTCATACACTTAGCGCTTGGTGTTAATGCTCACTGACTGACTGACCGAATTCTATCAGTCGAGTTCGCCATGTGGCAATTACCACATCTTGAAACTACGTTTCGTGCTTGTCGACCCTAGGTGAAGCGAGGCGCATTATCTGTAATAGTGATCGAATTCATGTACCTACCCAGATTCAAATCGATCAACATTTGCCTCCAACCATCATCTCATATCACCTATTCACATTTCAACGTCATCATGGCCACATTGCAAACTTGATTGACTTGATGCAATTCAGTCTGCATAAAACGAAAGAATCGGCGCATGATACTGGTTACCACTTCATGGTCCAATAAAAGTACCCACTACGCTGAATACCTCAGTGATAACATCTGTCAGTGTCCCACTTGAGTGTCCCGGCTCCAATGCTCGAAAGCGAAATGACTACCATCAAGATTAAAGAGACGCCATGTTGACTAGTGAATGCCAACAAGCACGAAACCTACCCACGTACCTACCTACCTACCTACCTACGTTAGGCATGGCTTCCTGAGCCGATTACCTTCAACTATCCAACAACAATGAAAAATTCTACTTATTATTTTTTGTTTTATAATCCGCCTACTATTAGCTATATCGGTGTATGGCGTGATGCTTTCGTTCTTATCACTGATAAAATCAATGAATTAACAGCTGGGTAGGTGAGTGCAAGGTGTCCATTTACAAGAGAAATATCGTCTGTATTGCCTTTCTGAATAGTTTAGTGCATCATTTTCTCTACCGTTAATTAGACCGTTCATTCCAAAGTATTTCTACAACTAATTGATTGAAAGTGATTTTGAGGGCTTTTCTTCCTTATACTTTTTCGCTTCGATTCACTCTCTCTTTTTGTATGTACACTTACCCATGGATCGTGTACTATCCCACATATTATTATTATTACTATTATTATTATTAACAATACATCTGTATACGTATCTGTGTTCACTTGGTCATACGAGGTGAGAATATCTTCTCTGTCTATTTTAGAACATTAGTCTACTCAAAGTGAACACACATACACCACCTATGTAATAATAATGACGATGATCACAGTGTGTAATACCAAATATAACGTGAGCACACATTTGTATGTATGTATGAGTGTGTGTATGGATGGATGGACGCACGGATGCAGCATCGCTGTTTCTCGTCCTGTGAATAAGGACACGACAGTATGGCATGATTAGGTAAGCAGACACTATACACACACTATGCACAAACATACATACATACATAGAAGTGTGACATACACTGTGTAACTTATTCCTGTTAAAATGAGATGGCCACCACCAAAACACACTGAGTGTGTGTCGTATAGCGCATCCAGTCTCATTTCTTATGCCAACCAACCGACCTACTGACTAACTAGTCACACAATTTCAAACGATAGCAGTCTCTCTCTAGATCGACATGAAAATGACGCCACATACATACACTACAAAAGAACTGTCATTTTTTGAATGAGAGAATGGAAGGCACAAGTGAAAAAGATATGTCAGTATAGACGATGATTAGCGAATTCAACGATAGCAAGGTTGGATTCCTCAAGAACAGAGGAAGAAGGATCTGTACCGATGACATCCTAGACAATGAATTAGTGTACACTTCCGAATTGTGCTGGTCCAAAAGGATTCATTTTAGTAGATTTGCAAGGAGGCACATGAGTAGTGAGTACAACAAAGAGAAACTGACCACACTTAAAAAAAGAAACAATTGTTCCCTTGGCTGAAATTCAATGAGAACCTGGCTAGTGAAGTCCTCCGTGTAAGATTATCGACAGCCATAAAGAAAGAGATATACTGCTGCCACGCTTTGCTTGTCATTTCCAACTACCTAGATGTGCTCTTCCAGATGTAGCCTACCCTACCGATCCCAACTAGCTTTGACATTCTCGTTCATTCTGTCTATAGTATAGTTGAAGCGATGCTGCGCTCAGGTATGATACACAGACGACAACCATCCGTTCCCATATAGGATTCCCAGTACATATATATCACAGGATATATACCAGGAAGGAAACTCTGAAATATGAGTAGAACAACAAATCACTCAGTGTTTCAGTGATATCTTAAAATAGATATAAGCTGATGCCTCTTATATATTTCTACAAGACTGATTAGTGAAGAAAGAATATTTAGTCCGACAACCTCTTCAGGTTCCACAATACACCGTATACATCTATAATAGTTAACGAATGGTCGTCATTGACAACACATCAACGGTTTTTAAACAACACTGAGTCACTAACATCAAAATTCCGCCTAATAGTATATTCAAATAGATTGTCAATGGAGAACAGTTGAAAACATGCATAAATAATTTACTAAGTTGAATGTCCGATGTCCAAGTAGTAAATGATAGTGATTACTAATCAATATATAGTAGACAATGCTCATAACATCAATATAATCTGGATGCTCAATTCGTCGCATTTACGAAATACATAATAGAGGCAGTAAACAGAGGTGTGAGACAAAGGAATAGTAATAACGAAGAACGATATAGTTTCATTTCAAATCATAAGTCACAAGGAGTGGATGCATCTGCACCAGTCAGCCATTGAGAACGATTTTGAGCCATATGATCAATTGTTTCTGGCCTTCATTGGTTTTTTCCGTCACGAGGACCCCAACCAGTCAGGAAGTCCACACATTCCTACGTGACTGGCTAAAACTAACTGTTGTGGATTTCATTGAGTGGTGCCATGTTTTAGTTTGACCGCCACTAGCTCTTCTCCAGTCTGACCCTATGTCAGCTAACATTGCCCGTTGAGGTAGGTGATAACTAGGCATGCCCCAGTGACCGGTGGTGTCCGCACTAACACCCACTCGCTCACTCACTCATGAAATCCGCATCCCGGTGGATTCCACTGCTATTGTGTCACAACCATCCATCAAAATTACTTCAAATTAAATAATCAACAGACATCGTCGAAACGTGTGCTACTAGGTACTAGGAGCCAACCTATTACAACTACGGAGGCTAAATATTTTGGTCATTACATCAAGGCTGAATTAAAAACAAATAATGTTTGTACTTTTATTATCCTTGACTTTATTATTATTGTACTGCTATTATTATACTCATCGTTAATTATTGACATAGCAACAACACTCACCGTCATTAGTCAACTCTTTCAGATACATACATAAATACATATACATAGAAAAAAGCTATGCACAATAGACTAAAGTACGTAGAACATCTAATCTTATTATTGTTGGTTTTTTCATGTCTTGCGCTTTAATAAGGTGTCGGGGGACGGGCGGGGAGTCGGTGAGGTAGGTTGGAAGAATTTGTTGTTTGTTGCTTTTTATTTAATTTGACAAAAATGAAGAATAATCAAAGAAATCAAGAAATAAAGCTATGAAGGTCAAAAGTATGTAAAACAACATTCATCATTAACTCAAAAATATCTCGACGTACTATTTCAGGCTACTAGGACTGCGACTACTAATACCAGACTAGATTGTTTACACGACACTTCTTCTTTAGTGTCAAGGTGTACATAATTCATGACTCATTTGTGCACTTTGTTAATTATCAACTGGAATCGTTCTGGTGTATGGTGGCTTTCAGTGTTGTTCAAGTTGCACAAAACTCTACTTTAACTCATGTTCTTTTTTATTAAAATAAAAGAAGTACAAAGTTTAAAAATTAATTCAGCCCATTTTCCTCCAGTCCATTGAGATTTCAATTTGACTTTTTATGAGTTGATCACGGATTGATGTCAGTCAGAGAACCAGTGAAAACCAGCCACTGGGAGAACTGGACAGCTGTTTCATCATCAACAGTACACACCCACTGCCAGGAGGTTCGAACCCAGGACCTTCTGGTTACAAGGCAGTTACAAGCTAGTATACACTTTAGCCACTGGGACTCGATTGAGTGGTTCATGAATTCCAATTTGACGCTCAAATTCTATCAGTGTGTCACACCTCTCCAACACATTTTATTTTTTATATTCCTTTACGTTCCCAGTGGAACATAGGGGACTTCGAGCTAGAAGCTTGAAGTTTCAGTAGCAGTGGTGTTTATTCATTACGGGATGGGGTTGCTAGCTAGCCAGCCAGCCATATGCCCAACCTTTCCCCTTTAACAGTTATATTACTGGCTTAGCGAGTGAGGTGAAAGAGTGCGTAGGCTGGGGATCACACCCTCAACCACACTCGTGGTTGGCAACCATTCTACCGCTGTACTACCGACGACGCCAAAGATGAAACGTCGTTGTCGTCGCTCCTACACATAAACTGGTTAAAACGGTTAGAAGATGTTTTAAACCCACTATGCAAAACTCGAATTATGTAAGTTTGCTTTGAATGAAGGATACTTTTCAAATTGTTGACTGTCCAGTAGATGCGAACATACAAGATTCGAAGGTGGTGTATTCTTTTAGTGTTAATTCCTTGTTTACTAATGTACCACTGATTAAGACTGTTGATGTTATTTGTGATTACACATCTTCTAGTTGTTTTCCGTTCCTTTTTGCTTTAAAACTTATTTGAAACATTTATTACTATTATGTACTAACAACGTCCACTTCACATTTAAAGGTGAACACCTTTGATGAGTGGATGGTGTTGGCCACACAACATTTGATGCATCAGCCATTCGTATGATCTACAAAATCCGACAAAGTTTACACAAAGGGACACAATTCCATTTCTTCTGCTTTGCATAACAAAAGCTTTGACAATTACAATAACATAAGGTCAGAACTTTGTGTACACTGTGAACGATTGTAAAGATGATTGTAGAGAGACCGTGAACAAACTACGCGATTATCGCGTTACTTGAAGATTTTGCACAAGTGGTAAATACCCAACTCACCATGCAATAAAAACACACCCCGAAAATACTGGATTGTGCGTAGACACACACACACACACACATTTCAGAATAAAGCTATTATCATCTTGATTAAAACGGAGAGAAATATCTGAATATTCATCAAAAAACAAAACAAATATAGAGGTCGACGACAAGTCACGCAGGCACGCACACACACACTCACAAACAAAACATAGAACAACAAGACTGGTGATGTCCATTAAGCACGAAATCTAACTTACATGTCGATAAACTTCTATACAACAGGGAATGTGATCATTAGGTTTCGGGAATAGAAATTCCTCTGATGAATACTGTCGATTATTTGAAGATGACGATGATGAATTCGGATGCTGACGCTTCAATCGACGTAGTTGTATAGGATCTGGCAGAACAATACACGATGACTTGTACTTGTCTGCATGTATCAAATGTGTTCCAGAATGCGATAAAATAGCCAGTGGAGAATCAAGTAAGGCTAATCCACATACACAATGTGGTAGAGCTACACACGAAGGTGAAGACGAAAATGACAAGAGAAGCAATTTAAAAAAAAAGAATAATCAATTGAAGCACACTGCAGCATTGACAAACACATTACTCTAACCTGGGGACTAAGGGTATGAAGATCTTGTTGTGGTGGGACACCTCGACTTTTATTTCACTTCCGCCAAAAAGACTAACTCTTCTCTGAACGCCTTTTTTTCTATACGACTGAATGGGGATTTACAACCTTCACAATCGTCACCATCACCATCATCGCCAACATATACTCTATCTCTTACCAATCAGAGACTCTCAGATGATCTGACCATTGAAAAACCGATTAAATAAGGCAGTGTATTCGCATACAGAACTAATGCAAGTGTGAATGACATTGACACTACTACCAAAAGAGACAAATATGTCCTATTCCTTAACAAGTATATCAGAGTATCCTGACCGATAGCTGCAGCCTTGAAGTGGTGGTCAGGCTTGCGCATATATTCCAATGACCCACCCGACGGATCACGCTGGTTTGGCGAAGTCGTGCTGCTATCGAGTAGAGATGTAACACGAGAAAGGAGTTTATCTCAGATGACCAGCAAGTCACCAATGTTACCTTACCTTTCCACTCTGGGTAAGCAGGAGGCTAGAAAAGATCGTCCCAGAAAACTGGAAATCCCGACTTACCTTACGGCGGTCCATACACAGCGGTACGTTTTTAACACGAACACAATCTTAAAAACACAAATTCAAACAGGTCATATATGACCACCAGTCTAAAACTGCTGGCCCATGGCTCTGAGGTTACACAACATTAATGCTCTACTTTTTCAGGTATTCCAAGCAAAAATCAACTTTCAAGGTGTGGGTAGTCGGGAAGTGACAACCACCCACACACTTCCTCGTAAAGCACACAACGTTCGCCTGATCACCAGTCATAGGGGTTGACATATGGAATAACACATACTGCCAAACAAAAGTTATTATGAAAGTGAACAGTTCGTATACACCCACAGCATCCTACGAAACTCAATCTCCTGTAAGGAAATTTAAACAAGATTGAAATCTTGTCATAACTGTTTATTTACGTCAATTTGTATTTCCCGGGTGTAGTCTGGTCAATCACTTTGGAAGTAGGACGAAACAGCTTCCCGGTGATCAAAGTGATCCACACACACACACATTGGACGTCCGTTTCGCCAGTCTAGGGTTCGAGTTCTTCATTGACCACTGTAAGCGGTTAGATTCAGTTAACAAAGCCGAATCACCTCAAAAACCAAACAAATTCTGGCTAGCTACTTAAGACGACGCTGATGCTACATAGAATCGAATTCGCAGTTGACCAATTCATTAAATAGACACATAGTAGAAGTAGTGACCATTCACTCCCAAGACTTCCCTTTGGAATATCAAAAGAATCACATTTCCTTGATTACTAAGATGTCTGAAGGGAGTATCAAAGAAACCAATTCTAATTCCACGATTATTTCTAAAGTAAACTGTGCCATTCTTCATTCCAAAATGAATTATCAATAAATAGTGTGTTTTTGTATAACTTACCTTTAGCATTTTCATTCCACTGACGTGTTCGTGCAAGACACCAAGAAACCATACTAGAAGAAATTAAGAAACAGGAAAAACAACACACGGTAAGGTTGGTTAACAACACGTTAAGCACAATTAGAGTAGTGAAGGTCAAATGGCAGAAAGCTCGCTTAGCATGCCAGAGGTACTTGAATAAATTCCCAGGTATTCCACCGAAAACCTTGTCGTGTGTGTCGGTGGTTCAGTGCTAGAATACTCGTCGACCACCTATACGGTCCGGGATTCGATGATCCCTAGCCGACGTACTCCTAGGACTGGCCCAACCGGCAGTAAGCCCGATGAAAAGGCGGGAAGGTTGGGTGTGAGGCTAGCAATCCCACATCGTGAAAAACAAGCAGCACTGCTACTGAAACTCCAAAGCTCAAGCTTGAAAAGCTTGTGATTGACTGGTGATTTTATCAAGGCTAAGTTTACTTATTGCTTTCTTCATGACACCAATTCGGAACGTGAACAATGACGCAAATTTTTTTTCTACACTTTTCGCTTCCAACCAACTCTCACCACAGGATCATCACTTGGTAATTGGAGAACAATACAACCATCTCAATCATTCTTCCAACTCATTTGTCGAGTAGAAATCCGGCTACAGCTGCAACTTTAACACTATCTGCATTCAACGCTTCATCTTCTTTAGAACAAGCTTTCATTTGGCAGGTTCTCCTACCTACACAAAGAGTAGATTTCACTCATTCTTCGGGCTGTAATTCATGGAGCAAAATGACTTCATGGAACTTTTCTCATCAAATAAAATAAGAGTGCCTGTACTTATAGAGAGCGAGAGAGAGAGAGGATTCTTTCCATTCCTCTGAGATAAAAGAAACTAGAGTGGAATTTCTTACACTTTGATTGATCATATTTACCGATTTTGCACAAATTGTATCTCTTCACAGATAGAACTCTCGATGCATCATGGGAATCCAGATTCTCTATTCTCTGTTCGATTTTTAACTTCAATTTGCATGGTTTTATTTGAAGGCGAACTGTTCAAATAATGCCTCAATGAGTGATAAATGGTTGTGTACTTCTGTGGCTGACTGACTGACTGACTGACTCCACAGAACAATGAATAATCTGAGTATGCAGATGGCATAGGAAGGGATGGGATGGCAAGATGATTGAAAAGATAACTTATTAGTGAGCATCTCGATGAGTGCTTCTGGTGCTGTTGCAATAGTAATCAGACTTGCTCAGAACTGAAGGATATCATTAAACTACCCGTCGAAAATTAATATGAAAAGGTATAACACAGGATAATTCTAACCCTAACATGCTATCCACCCATTATCCAAACGATGCTTAAAAATCAGATCGCGATGAAATTTTCACCTCGATGTGTCGCAACGCGTTCATACTGGTGCTGTTAATAACCACAGGTTATGCAATACAACGGATCGTATGCCTTCAAAGTCACTGATGCGTTCACACTCCACGGTCGCTATTCTTTACATTCCACGATACCGTCTCTTGAACATCAATGCGAACATTGTTTCCTCCAGGACAACTGTCAATAAGCACGAAACCTAGATTTCATACAGCTTCCTGAAATTTAGTGCAGACCACTGAACTATACAACTCTATATGATTACCTAAACACACAATAAAATAGCCCAATGAATAGGCAGATAACGCCTTCATCATATTTAAAACGATCAGTGGTTGGTTATTATACGCCGAAGTGAAGGGGTAGCATGAATCATTCAATAATACATCTCAGTCTTCTACCCAGTTAGATTACCATTCAACTTTTGGGGACAGATTACCTATGGATTGTCTAGTTGCTTAGGTTAAAGTAGATGGAGCGCGAGTCGAAGCCAGGACCTACCGACTGACAGTCAATTTACTCAATTACCTCCACTCAGTGAGCTGTAATCAAATTACACACCGTGAAAACATAATGGATCTTTTCAAGTTTAACCACGGATTGAAATCATTTGGAGAACCGGTGAAAACCAGAGAGCACTGAACCAGCCGTTTCCTCCTACATCGGGAGTCATCGACAGCACACACCCACCGGGTTTCCAATCCAGCACCTTACAGTAACTAGCCAACCACTGAGACTCCACTCAATGGGCCATGACATTGGCTAGCAGTCAGTCGTACTAGAATTCATAGGATGGCGTTTAAATCGGGTCCGAGTGGCTGACTGATCTCCGAGTTTGACTTGTAACTACTGGAAGGTCATGCGTTCCAGCTCTAACTCTGGTCGCGAACTGTCGATGAGTCACAAACTGGGCTGTCGAAACAGCTGTCCAATACCAGAACTCCCAGCTGGTTTACATTTACCCAATGCTTCTCTAACTGATATCAATCAATCCATCCATCCATCCAATCAAATGCTTCCCCCCTCTACAAACCAACTCTTCATCATGGATTCTGTTTTGTTAAATTAAAAAATAAGCAAATAAAAATAACTTACTAGTGTTCATGAACATGTGATAATAAGTGTTCATAAGTCACATTAGCATTATCTTTTTTAGAAAATGTCAATTGCTTGTGACACCAAGGACAAGCAATCAGTTTACGACTGTCGAAAAAGTGAGAATCTCTTTCATGATTGTGTAAATTTATCAGATCTGTAAAGTATCGAGCAGTGAATGGAGTTGTTTCACAGTTACTAGGAGATTCTTGTAGTTGATGTTGTTGTTGTTGTTGCAGTAGCTGTTGAGAACAGTCGGAACTAGAACCATTGTCTGCTACTGATTCTTGATTTTGAAGTACTAGATTGATTTCGTTGTTTCCTCTTGGTGTCACTGAGCAAAAAGAACAAACAAACAAAGTAGTACAACAGTACAGTAGTGATACACACACCACTAACAGTTATGGAGATTTAGCTTTTTATTAAATTAACCTTAACAATGATAAAATAAGATAAAACAACTGTGCATGCATTCCATTTCAAATAAAAGCTTTCCACGCTCATGTACGTATATAAACCAATTAATCAGAGAATTCCTGAGTACGCAGAAGACAGACTAGACAAGTGTGTTGTCTTTCATCACTTGGAAACTGTTTTTGGCATCTATGATTCTACGAAGCATTTATGAGGATTTGATTAGTCGGGGAGATCTGTCCTCGAACACCTGATCAAACAAATCTGAACAGCAAGCTAACCCGCCGGAACAAGGAACTTCACAGTGATCTAAGAGGATACATACGGTAATCTTGCCTCATGCCCAATCTTCTCCCTTACCAGCCAGTCTTAATATTGGCTTAGCGAGCGAGGTAAACGAGTTCGTCGGTGGCCGGGGATCGAATCCTGAAACACCTGCGTGGTTGGCAAGCATTCTACCACTGTGCCACCGACGCACACTACAATCATATATATATATATATATATATATATATATATATATATATATATATATATATACATGCGACTGTACACAACTTGAGAATGATATCGGTGAAAAAAGTAACTCTTTGTTGAGTGTTTCCCCACCCTCCACTTTTCTATGACTCAATGAGGCGGATTTCCAAGTTGCTGCTTAAACTTCGGAAAGCTTAAAGCTCTCACATGTTCCACCAGTCGGAAAAAGGCAAAGGAATAAAAACCAGACATGAGAGGAGGGAGGACGGCAGAAAATACTCCCTCATACACATATATATATATATACCTTCGTCTGATACATTTGATTCTGCAGGCAGCAATAATGAATCAGATGTCATCTGTGCATGTGGATGATCCATACACAAGGAATAAGAAGTTGAAGTCATAGTAGTAGTTGTTGTTCTTGTTGTCGTTGCTCTTGATGTGGTTGTTATTATCTCTGTAGACGAAGGATGAATACCACCACCAGTCACCGCTGTATTTCTCCTTGGTCCAATACCACAGTATGCACAGAAGCATAATTTTCGATCAAATATTACTGATGCATTATTATTCATCCTCCCATAACTAGAAGCACACGAAGCAGACGAAGAAGATGCATTATTCTCACATGATGAGTAGGTTCTGACAGACTGTTGCTGTTGTGCTTGTTGTTGTTGGTTGTCATCTGTATGCTCTGGGTCCAATAAATTAAGTATATCCTTATTACTATTATTATTGTCATTATTATCATTACTATAAGTATAGGAATATCCAAATGTTGACCGAAAAATTGTTTGTGCATGCTGACAAACTGATAAATGTTCTCGAAAAATATCAATATTGGGAAAAAGACGTTTACACGAACCAAAACATCGATAATAGTTTTCCTGAATACAAGCTGATCGATGTTCAGCCTAGATTGTTGAGAAGGAAGAAGAAAAGAAAACAAAAAGACGGAATGGAGGAGAGAAAGAAGAAGTTATGAATACTGTTCACTCACACATTACTAATACAATAATCAGCTTCAAGAGGCAGAAAGTCGATTCGCGTGTGAACTCAATGAATGAATAATTTACACACTTTTTGTAGATTATCCCCCCTCCCCCAAAAACAAAATATGGCATACAAACCTTTTATAGTTTGGATTTATTACACATACTGATTTCTGTTATGATCTCTATATCACCACCACCAGTTGAAATCAGCTCGTCGGGATTCTCCTCTACATACATACATACATACACCTGTCGCCAATCGATATGAGTGAGTAAGACTTATACATGGCTATAATAGTCCTGACCGAACGGACAACTCAAATGATACATATACTACTAAATACGCCTATTCCCGTTTGTGCTACTACCTTCGCTTCACTGAGCCAGGTAAATATCAAAAGACAAAGACTGGTCTGTGAATGGTAGAGGATACAATTTTCTATTAGGGAAAAAGGCACGTTATATTTATGTATATATTTAACCATATTGAAATCTGCCTAGCCCACTGGAAATAGACTCTTCTAATTGGTAGACGATTTGGCTAGGGCCGTAAAAAATGAACATTCTGATTGGTCGACTATTGAACTACAGTGTCAAGGTAACATTTTACAGTTATCCGATCTCACACGATGAATAATCATAAGGTTGATCACAACTTTAAGCCGATTTCTATCAATTTCTTTATTAGCTTCCCTTCAAAGTTTCGCGTAGCACCCCCCTCAATCCACCCGTTCACTGCCTTTCCTCCACACTGGTATCAGGGTCATGTCATTATGGTAACTGTCATCCACGGATTTTGACAAGAAACGAATTCACGTTTATATCCATGTGTATGTGGATGTCAACCGCTCAAGAATCCTTCCCATAGAGTCAGTGTGTGTGTGTGTGTCACTAGTCTCACTAGAGAATTTTAAATGAAATGTACAAAACAACAATTCATTTATAAGTCTATACTGTGACCAGAAGGTCCTGGGTTCGACCCCTGGCAGTGGGTGTTTACTACCGACGAGTCCCAAACTAGGCTGACTAAACAACTGTCCAGTACTCCCAGCTGGTTTTCCAATGGTTCCCTAACCGATGCAGGCTTATGATGAAGTCCTCCAACCAATTAAACAAAAAAACCCACAAACCAATACTTGAAAATTGTTCTGTTATATATTTCAATGATCAACTGTCCCACAATCATTGATTTTCGCCTAATAACTGAAAGACTACATTCATGTACGCTGTAGCTAACTGTGCTGCTGCTCAATATCCGAAATCGCTTTATTGCGTATCCCCTCTATAATTTTAGCGTCATCACCTCACCTGGGTGGGCGTCATTGTTTCAACCCAGAGGTACTATAAATGGTGATAACAAACAAAGCCACGGTTATACATTGGGGAGAGCAAGACAGTCGATCACTACTCTGAAATCACTGTGCATATTAAAAGTAATCAGGAAAAACCTCACACTTTTATAACACTAGTGTGTCAGGTCCATGCGCCTCCACGTACTTCAGGGAATTGGCACGCGCGCGTTATCAAAACCAATCCCATCAAATAGGCCACAGACACTTTCGTCAACACATGTCTTCTCCGCTGGGTTAGATAGACAGACAAACTGGATAACTACTGGCCAGAAGGAATAAACAACGAGGAACTCTGTCATGCACAAGACCAGTCAAGAATTTATTACGTAACAAATATGCATAAACACATATACATATTCATATATACTGCATATAATGAAATGAAACGATAACCAACACACACACACACATACACGTACACAGAGACACATTACAATATAAAAGTATTCACCACTTACACTGAAGTGTCGGAAATACTCCTCTCTTGTATCAAGAACTCTCAAACACTCTATGCACTGATATCTTGTGGAGTAATCTGCATTCTCACTCATCACACTGGCATTATAATTACCATTTCCATGGACCACCGGTGGCCCATTCATGTTTACTAATGAGGGTGGCAATAACACCGTCTGAGATTCACTTAAAAATCCAGATATAGGATGAACAGTAGAAGTCGAAGAATTCATAGCACCAGGCGGCGTATTAGCACCATGAATAACTTTCATATGATTTGTTAATTCTTCAAATGAAGATGTTTCAATGGTGAAACTTGTACTCTGCTGCTGCTGCTGCTGCTGACTATTATCGATACTTATACCAACAATAGATTGTAATTGTTTCTGGTGTTGTACACAAAGTAAACATGAATAAATCCGCCTTGTATGACATTCAAAATAATGTTGGCATAGATTTTCAAACGCCTTATAGCCTTTTTTGTTACCCATTTCATGACAATAACAACATTGAAAGATTTCTCTCAAATTAAAGTGATAGCATACAAAGCGAAGATGTGCACGTAAGCACAACTCCGCACAATCAGGCGATAAATATGCTGGAGGCTTGAGGAAAAACGAAAGATTTAAAAAAAGAGGAGAAAGTAATATGCGGAAAATCTTCTCTTTCTTTTAAGTACACAAAGTTAAATCAATTTATGTTAATATATACATACAGATATATCGTCTGTTTCTCCACCTATCTCTCACAGAGTATTATTGCATAACGATGACATTAGCTGGTGCCTGACTGTCGCGACAAAATCAAGAATTCGTTGGGTTGGCCATTATTGAGACACAAACTAACTAGGCTGACGAAACAACTGACTGTCCAGTACAAGTACTCCTTGATGGTTTCCAAAGGTTCTCTCTCTCTCTTTGTCTCTGACTGAAATCAATCCATGGGCGAACTTTGAAAACAAGCGAAATCCATACAAACCAACTCTTGCAAAAAACATTAATATATCCCATTGTATACAAATTATAAATTTTAGTTCAATTCTCATTGAGCTTTGATCAAAACAAGGCAATGTGTAACAGAGAGAAGTGGTTTGTACTCAGACATGACACATGTTTTTGGTTAGATTGGGTTGAAGTCAACAGCAGGGATAATCTCACTCACAGAAGATATGGACTGCGTCAGGTAATGTCTGTCTGTTTCGACATAGAACAGGTATTATCCTTTTACGACTATCTATCTTCATTCATGCAACGCCATTGGCCACACACATGCGTGCATATATCATTGTTTTCCTTGGCACGCGCTTGCGCTTAAACTTATACAGATACCGATACCGTTCAATACATATTTGCAGATGTGGCACATTGACTTAAGTACTCAACTTACAGCTAATCAGCCCCCGGGGTCGAGTCCTGCGCCCCACCTACTTCAGCCTGGCCAACTAACTGGGTAATACCACAAGCCCCTACACAATAAGAATGGTTTGTAACCTAGTACTACTGGGTAGTTGAGATTTAACTACTACAACCACTACTGTAAAAGATATACTCTCCACATCTCATATCGTGGTGTGTTCTGGCTTAAGTAAAACAGGCTGGAGGGAAACAGATAACTGTCGTACAGAGTGTTGTCAGCGTAATCAAGCTGTATTCGTGGTCAGCGTGTGCGTCTAAGTCAAGCGCATTGGTGTCTATATATCCTACTTCGACCTCGGTGGTATTGCACAATAAAGTCACCACATCATAACAAGTACATTTTAATGGATATATATAGGGAAATGATGTACACTTTATCTGTACATCGTCATTTCCACAAGTCTTCCGTGTTGTGCTAGTTCTGTCTTCCTCCACCCCTCGGTAATGTGTCTCTTTGCCTTCCTTTTGTATCTCCAATGTTTTCCAACTATATACTGATTCATTTGCTCGCTTTGATGTCAAATCCATCCCTCCACTGTTTGATATTTCTCTGCCAGTCAATGTCTCTGTATACACACTACTGATAAATCTTGTCAGTAGTACACACCACAGTAGCACTAGATCGATCGATCAATTAATTTCCCTTCACACACAAATATTCTATTTTTGCTGAAGTTTCGTTCATTAGCAATCCAAAAATTAATAGTCAATCCGTAATATATATACATATTTCCACGCACCAATGAAAAGTTATACACACACATTACAACACCATGCATGGAATGTATTCACACACCTGAAGAGTAATATTCATATCTCAAAACAACAACAACAACAACAAAACTCATTCACACTTTCAGGACAGCTATGCATACAACACAGTTACTAAGTTCATTTTGAAAATCCTTAGCTCAGTGTCTATATGGAACACAACACGTGTTCATATAAGAACAGAACAATGTCATCGGAAAAGTCTATGGAATTTGTGCACACACATTGCAACATCTACCTATACAATTTATCTCATTCGTCTACCGGTCAGATAACAACAAATCACCTACTGTCACATGATGGACGTCAGTCAGTCAACCAGCCAGTCAGAATCCGGAACACAGTCGTCAGTCGACGCCCACCATTTGAGCCTTGTGACTGGATCAATATATGCCGTGTATATTTTTGCCCACTTGATCACTCTCGCTCTCTATATATCTCTCTCTCTGACACACACTCGTTTCTTTTGGAAATACACGTTTCCACACCCCACACCCCTACTGTGTGAGTCTTCTGGAATTTACGTGATTCGGGTCAGGGAATAATCGACTAGGACCATTCATTCATTATCGTCAGTTGACAATCGTATTCATATTTGGCGGCGCGATAAAACACAAGACCCAGCTAAATCAGTCCATGAATGCATTTCTAAAACATCATTATCGAGTGACTGATGTATCCTCCTATTTACGCGTCTATATGACAAAATTCAACACTGTACATGAAATGGTTCCACAGAAATATGTCACTTTGCCGATTTCTGGCCCTATTGAAAATGTTTCGTAGCCAGTCTCACATTCAAACATGGTAGTGAATAAGTGATATGGTGATCAATGTCCAGTCTGGAAATAAACCTATCAGTTGTCGTACAGGCAGGTGGCTGGATAGGCAGATAGTCAACGGATTATCCTTTTCTCATGCCTACGTTACTGGCTCATGTGTACATTTTGTCTTTCTTCATTACCCTACATATGTCATTAATTCCTTTTGTAAACACACTTCTGCGTCTCACCTCTTGTGTGTTCTCGTGTAAGTAGCGGCTTGGAAATCTGGTAGCTGTGGTGTACGCCGTTGGCGTGGACAAGCGATATTCGTGGTCAACGTGTTTACCAATAGCTCGGCGTCCCTATCCAAACCAACGTTTCTTAAAATATAAAAGGTAAGAAGTCATGGGCCATTGAATTGCGCCCCTGTGATTGAATGGTATACAAGATTCCTTGTAACCGGAAGGTAGGGGGAGGGTGTTCGAAACCCTGTGGGTGCGTGCTGCCAATTCCACAACTGACAACTGGTTTCCACGTGGAACTCTGCACAGATGTGCAGCAGCTCGAGTTGCGGATTATCACTTAGTGTATTTGTTCATATGAAAACTTTCTTCCTAAATCCTGAATTCGATTTCTTCTATATAACTAACTGCCATAGTAACCTACGCAAAATGTGATTAGCACACTGCAACCATTCACTTGGATCACTCGATTTTCATAGTTTCGCCATTTCTTAATTCTGAGCGTCGGTGGAACACCAGTAGAATGCTCGTCATCCACGAATGTGGCTTGGGGTTCAATCCGCGGCCGCCGAAGACGCACTCCTTTACCTCTCTAAGCCAGTAATAACATTGATACAGAGAAAAGGTACGGGATTGGGGGCATGAGGCTGGCTAGCAACCCTGTCCCGTAAAAATAAACACTTTTTTATTCACACTTCAAGCTCCTAGCCCTATTTTCCACTAGGAACGTAAAGGAGTGGAAAACAATTTCTTAATTAGTCATGATTGATTCCAGCACTTACACACATACCTCCGATTTCTACGAGGGTGGAACACACACAAAAAGCAACAACAATAAACTATAACTCACCGTAAATCCACACTGAGGACACATTATATGACATCCCAAGTGTAACAGTATATGAGCCTTAATCAAACATAAATTTGGTTGTTCTATACTTAATAGCTGACCACATAGGCCACATTTTGTATTGACTACAGTTCGACCACTACCCATAAGATGCATTTTAAGCCTTTGTTTATCATTTGTTTTAAATTTGCATAAGAGACAACGTAACACACCGAATGGTTGTTGTTGTTGTTGCGATAATGATGACGATGGAGTTGAAGACTGTGGTGAACGATACGAAGACAGTATCGCGTTTAAAGCCAAATTCAGATGAGCATTGGATGGAGCGGATGGAGGTAGACAGGTGTCGCAAACTTCTATGACAGAGAAAAATTAGACAAGGGAGAAAAGCAAAAAACAAGAGACAAGCTTATTGGAGTTATATTTCCATTGGACACTACTAGGCATTTAACTAATGTTATACGTTTATTCCATTCTTTTTCAGGGTGTAGATTGAATTCTATCAGTCAAGTGTGCAATGTGGCCATCATCATGGCTAGATGTGTAACTCTGAATTCTTATTAGATGGTTGTGAATGCAATCGGTGAGATACTCTGGACCTAGATTTCGTGTTTATCGTCACTCGTCAGAGCAAGGTGTATGTGTATCTGCAATTTCGCAGGAGTTCACATCCTCCCTCCTTCTGTGATTCGAATCAGGGTCACCACCATTCAATCAGTGGTGAGGCAGTGAGAGACATTAAAACTAAGCTAATCAGGCTCGTTAATTGACCTACTACTTTTTTTTTTTTTGTAGAACTTCAGTGGATATTTTGATTGGATACTGGGTAGTAATTACTGTTATGCATCTAGTCCTTAGTTTGGTGTGGCCTGAATTCCTACCACTCAACACAATTTAGAAGGAAGTTATTCGAATGACATTTTTTAATTCTGGCACAACACGAAAACCAACATAGTTCTCAAACGATATCACACAATCAATCACTACTTCCATGTTGCTAAAAAAGGTTTTAAATTCATGCCCACAAAAAATAAGCGGCACAACACAGCATACCACCTATGAATTGTGATACACACACACAATGGTTACTATGCTCAGTCACTATTGAATCAACTTTTACGTCAACCACTCCCATACAGAGTAGCAGTGTTGTACAATTCACTCACAATCTTAGCTAACTCTTTTTCTTGTCTAATTCAATCAATTCTATATCAGTTATAACATTGTTTAACGAGGAAGGAAAGACAGCTGGTGACGTATGTGTCTTAGCCATCTCAATCGACGATCCCCAGCATCACAAGCCCATCCATCCAGTGACTTTCCCTTTTTTCTCTAATAATATTCTACATGCCTGGCCTTATTATTATTGACAACAGCATACACTTAACACCAATGGGGTCAAAAGGCTGCTAATCTCTTTTTCTCTTTAATATCCGTCAATCTTCAACGAACAAGTCTCACAGGATGTGAAAGAGCACTGTCAAACTGCTCAACACACACACACACACACACTGAAATCACTGATAATAATAACGAAGGAACTCATTTGAGAAAGTAAAGCTACACCTTTTTAGATAACTTAAACGAATAGCTAAAACACTGCTTGCCTCAACACTGTATTCAAAATTCGCCACTGGGTGTATAATTCCAATGCAGGTGAAGCATCAAATACCAAGCCCGGACACTTCAAAGTGCATTTATAAATTTAACTACTCTCCTGGAGACAGTTACATAGGTTGAACGACTAGGAAAGCCCACCGTTGGCCTTTCAGAGCATTGACCAACAAGCAAAGGAGTCGTAAAGTCAATCGGAATTTCCGCACTGACACACTTAGTGCATATGGAGCACAAGACCGACAGAAATTCAGCTTTTACAATTCTATATAAGGTGCCACTTCAACTCCTTAGTCTTGTACTCTTCGGTTGCTAAGCCTAGTTGTGGCAGCTGCCATAAGGATTTTTCAACCCAATCTCTGTGTTCAGAGAAAGTTTGTTTAATCTCTGTGCTTCCCTCGGCGTTCACCGCCAACTTGAAATAGTTATCTCTCCCAGTGACACCGGATAACTGTAAATATTGTCTTATATTTATTTGTACTGCTAACTGTATTATCAATATCATGGTGTGCTGTAGTTGTGCATTCTAATTTCGGTTTCACAATATATCGTTATTATTATTACTGCATTATCTAATCGCTATATGACAAAAGTCATCCTCCCCTCTACACCTACTAACATGCACATTCTACCTGTACACTCACCATTATCTAGATTATATGGACACTTGAATGAATTTATCCTTGTTATTATGATTATTCCTATTGTGATCACCTCGTTTGTTATCTATTAATTTTTTCACATTCCTGAACCCTGATCTTGTATTTTATTAACTACATTCATCATTCAAATGCCTATGACTAATATTTCATCATTATGTAAATGTACACCCAGATGAGAATTTACGGGAAATACGTGTTTTTTCTCTAGATAAACGTTTTCTCTTCGGACATACTGCCTTGGTGGTTCGACGATAAAATGCTCATCAACCACCGACCATCCACGTGACCCGAGGTTCGATCCCCGATTTTTTTACACCTTCACCTCGCCCCACCCCTAGCCGGTTTGCAAACGGGACAAAGAGGAAGGCTTGGACGTAAGGCTGATTAACCCCCCCCTCCACCCCACCACCCCCAACACCAATAAATAATGCTACTGAAACTTCAAACATTAGGCTTGACGCCCTATATTCGTTCCACTCAGAATGCAAAAGGATAAAATACTTTGGAAAAAATTAACTTCATCAGTATGCTTACTTCTACTCATTGCACTGTAACTATCGCCAACATTCACACTGTTATCACAGTAATTGGTTTGACCATTTTCCACATTGTCATTTTCATTATCATCATCATTATTATTATTAGTTTGAATAGTAACCGGATTATTTTCATCTTGACGATTTACTGTTTTTGTTGTTGCTGTTGCTGTTGTTCTAGCAGGAGTACCAATTGTTCTGATTTCATCACTACACCATTCCGGTAGAAAAAGGTGTGAATGCCAAATTTCGCTAGTGGCAGAATTCAGAATTAAACGATATAAGACACTATCTGAACAAGGCAGGCTAGGTAAATTGCTTTCACTGTTGTTGCTACTCGGAGTGAAAATACGCTTTAAAGAAGAGAACCTCTCGACAACAATGTCGTTACATGTTCGAGTTAATCTGCCTACACGATTGGAGGAAACTTGTTTACAGAGAGATGATGGCTGGAGAAAGTCGAGACTCCCGAGGGCAGATATATTGCTAAATTTTTTATAGGACAATAAAAAAAATAATTGTCAAAACAATCCAAATGAGGTAGACTATTTCTATGCATAGTAATTACCAATGGCATCAAGAATAATATGCAAAGGCAAATAACAGTTGGGAGGTTTTCAGTAATATCGACCGATAGCTCCCACATCTTAATGTGGTGGTTCGTGGTTCCAGATGCTAATGACCCACTACTACTGGCTGGAACTAATGTTCCTGCAATGTCCTACTATACCAGAAAGGTAATTCGGCTAGCAATCAGACTAAAAGCACTGACGTTATAGTGTAAGTTGTCCACACTATGTTCGAAGTTATACTGACGTCGAATGGATATGTAACAAGAGTAGCGTCTTTTCCTCAAATGACCAGCAAGCTAGCTAGCTATACTGCCTCCCAGCTATGGAGAACGGGCGTAAGGGAATTTCGATCCCGAAAATTCCATATCCCGATTTATCTATCTTGCGCATGTAACTCCAAAAACCACTTCACACGGGCCGTGTATGATCAGTCTCAAGTAGTTCGTTTCTCAGCTCTGGGGTAACACAACACTAGTGCTCCTTCTGTTTCAATTATCTCAAGAAGAAATCAATTTCCATGATGTGAGAAGCCAGGAAGTAATGACTAGCCACACACATACACACACACACATCCAATTCATTTCTTATTAAAAGTAGGCGATTGAACAGTTGCTGTCGCAAACAACAATCGTCTTTATAAACCAAATAAACAGGGCTAAGCCATCTTTTCAGTAAATGACTTAGAGCGGCGTGTTTCAAGTGTGAATTGACACCCTGATACTGGCAACAACAACCAGCACCAATCACCATCAACCAGAGAGACTTAACTGAGGTGGCCTCCTCCACTTATCTAACCAGCCAGCATCGTTTCCACTACAACCAATCGGAACGGGTGAAGATGTCAAAGCCAGCCAGGGAAGATCAGAAAAACAAGATACACCCTCATCAATCTGAAACCAATTCGAAGATCTTCTGCACTCAATCAGAAGCATAAACAACAAGATTCGAATTCTACCCAACACAAATCTGAAGTCACTCAGTCAATTCTTCTATGTGAATCAGAAACTTGCACTGCGCGTGAGTAGTCACGAAAAGGATTTCCAACAGCCTGTTTCACACTTTCATCAACAACTGACCACCTCGCTGACTGACTCCATACTAAAGATCAAATGGCCAGGAAGAATTAGAAACAAGAAATTATGGCTGGGAACAAACCAACGAAGAGCCACTCGCTCAACAAATATGTAGGGGAAAATGGATATGGATTGGGCATAAATAAGTTGAGGAGACAGTCAAATGACGTCGCGCGCAATGCAGGCCATTCCTCAAGTGACACCCGAATGGGAAGCGGCGACGAGTGGGTTGTCATTGCTACGGTGACATGGAGGAGATCGTGTGAGTAAGAGGAGAAGACGAGAGATTGTGGGAAATCATGGTCCAAGCTGAAGAGGACGGCAGAAGATAGGACAAAGTGGAGATGTATTTGTTCAAGCCGTGTGTTCCACTCGGAACCCAAGGGAATAATAATAATAATATCACAGACCTTTCAGTCCTGGTCATGATTATTAGTGGAGCTGTTGTTAAATAGCCTAGAGAAATCAGGAGTGACAGTTGACAATTTTCTAAATTTATCAACGTGATTAATAATCGATGTATTCATTCATTGACTGGTACTAAAACAGTAGGAGGCAAGGCACGGAAGTAATGCTGTATTTTCAATTGATCGAACCGCTGTTTATGTATCTACAGTTTATATTGGTTAACCAATCACTGAGCTTATGATTTTGGTTTACATTAAGCAACATGAAATAGAATGTTCAAATACACACATAGTATTCTTTTGCTACTGCAGTATTGTACTGTGGGAATAGGTGAGAATAATAATATTCCGTTGGAATACACACTGTCTGTATCACACCACCACAGTATTGGCACAATTAAAAACACAAAAAGTTTCATAAAACCAGAAGGAAAAGTGAAAGTGCAGAATGAAACTTACCTAAGACTATGTTGAAGATCACTCCAAACTCTTGATTTACATAAATCATTCATCAAATGAGTTTTGACAAGTTGATTGGATGTTAGACGTGTAGGCGCTTGCTGCTCATCTACGACAACACACAACACAAACAATCGCGGAAGACATTGGAGAATGAAGACAAGAAATGCAAAAGACACACAGAGAGAGAGAGAGAGGGATTAACAATTATGAATACTACTCAACAATTGCAACCAACAAATAAAGGTAGAGTATTACTCCCTTAGTACCATGGATTGTTGTTTTCTTTCAAAATATAGGCTGCTTACAGACAGGTGTAGGTATACACAATATTTTTTGATAATTGAGTTGGTTACCGTACATAGTAGTCTGAGACAGCGATTAGTTTTTCTGCCAGCAGTGCTAGGTTCAGGATCTTGCCCGATTTGGACAGTTGACACACTAGTTTTCAATAGCCTTACAACTGACGTCAGTCCGTAATCTAACCTACAACCAGTCGTGTCTTTACTGTTTCCGCTGTCAACGTTTGACGTTAATAAAGGTCAGTGGTTGGAGACGGTCGGTGGGATGATACAAAATCACTCATATTAGTACTGATGTATTCATTGTCCTGAATACGCTTATTACTTTTCATCAGAAGTACCGGTGTTGTTAACCATGTGTGTGTTTTCTTTCACCTAGGCCTAGGGATTCCCCTTGATTATTATTTCCAGTCATGTAACATCTTATGCATTTAACCATAACCTTGGATTAATGACATGAAAGCATAGGATAGTAGATTTCAGGCATTCACATGGTCATAATTACTAACAAATTTCGTATTTTCAAACTTGGTTAAGAATTTGAAGTAATTTGATGAATGATGGTGACTAGCAGTGGAACCCACCCACCTCCCACACATACGCACACACCATTTAGTCCCATTTGGGACTCTGGTCTCCTACATTTTACGCTCACCTTCCACTCGAAGGTCTGACATGCGACGTCATTCGACGATGGCCTCCTCAACGTGTGCCCAATCCATCTTCATTCGCTTTTACATATTCGGTGAGCAGTAGGTATAGAACAATAATACATTTACTTATCTTTTCACGAATCCTTTTCGACTGGCTACAATAAAGATTTTTTTTAAATACTTTTTACAAGACTTTTTTCATTTTTTAAGTCCCCAGTGAAACATAGGGCCTCAAGGCAGAGGCTGGAGTTTCCGTAGTATTTATTTTATTCTATTTCGTTGGTATGTATTTTTACGGGTAGGGTTGCAAGCCAACCCCATGCACGCCTACACATTTCCCGTTTACCAGTCTTATTAACGGTTTAGAGAAGTAAAGGAGTGCGTAGTCAGTGGCCGAAGATTGAACTCTATGTCGAAACAGACAGACAGACAGAACTCCAGAACACATACGCAGTTGGCAAACATTCTACCATTGTGCCACCGACACACCAGAGTCATCCAATTTTACCATATATAGTCACTCCTTTTCGCTCCTAATTACATAACAACTTACATCATTTCAGACTACTAGTTAACATTAAGTTCCCACCAATTACTTCTTCTCATTGGTGTAAAAAGTATGTTTAAATCTTTATTGCGATTTATATATTTCTGCATTGTTCAGGTTGTAGCCAGCGGTGTGAGAAGCACCAAGGAAATAATGAGAGATGAGTTCATAGTATCCTGATGGTACATTTGTCATTCATGCCTTGTTGAAGTTCATTAAAGAAAACAACTAAGGGAGTCATTTTTAACCAAAATACACAATCTCACCGATCACTTATTAATGACTCACTCGTTTCAACACAGAACCTTGCACAGCTCTGCAGAATATCGAGTTATCACACTCCATGTATCACACAAACCAAGACAAAAGACCACAGAGAGGTTCAAAATAGAGAGACACAGATTATAAACAGAAGTGTCAGTGAGGGGATTAGGATTAGTAATACGGAAGAACAATAGAATCTTGTCATGATATTTATGATAAATCACAAAGAGTGAATGCATCTGCGCCAGCCATCACCCGAAGACGATTATGAGCCATATCACTAATTGTCTCCAATCGCTGATTCTCATCATCCCGAAGACCACAAACAGGCACTCTACACCTCCCTACGTGGCTCGCTGGCTGGCTGGCTGGCCTAAACTAACTGTTGTGGATTTCATTAACTGATGAGGCCAGCCATGTTTTGGTTTGACCACCATCTCCTAGCTCTTCTCCAACCTGATCCACCATTCTATGTCAGTTAACATTACCTATTATCGAGGAAGGCAATGGTAAGTTAGTCATGCGTAACACATGTCCTAACCATCTCTCTCAATCGATGTAACTTCACAAACTCGTTCACTGATTTTCCCTTCCTTCTTACACAGCACTCGACCGATGCCTGACCTCAATATTGCTCACTCTATTATTCCACCCAACATGGGAGACAGAAAGCAGGCACCTATGATCAGAGACAGCTAGCCAGGCTTTTCATGTATTCCAATTTCAATGGCTGCTGAGCAGTACACATGTCCTTCGATCGACAGCCAACCGGAAATCACGTCTATGCCAGAGATAGCGTACCTCAGCATATGCGAAACGAGCCTTCTGTATCCGTGTCGTGATTTCGTCAGCGATCGACCCGCTGACAACATTGTCTGTTACAACTTCCCAAATAAGTGTAGTTGTAAACACCCACACGAAGCCCTCCCTCGAAAAGCACTTATTAATCAGACTCAATGCCACCGCCTGCAGCCTATATAGATATCGGTTACATAACAAATGAGTATATGCAAAACATTGTAAACACCTTTTTAGACAAACAGACACACACACACGCATGCATATGCATACGTATTATAACTGTGATAGGAGACAACAAAAGTACAGAAACATACACAGCATAAAGTTACAGCACATAAAAGAAAAACAAACAACAAATGAGTAGTCAACTCACTCGATACATCAAAAGATTGGATATCAGTAGTAGTGGAGGCGGTCTGTGCTGCTAAATTTAAAAATGTGGTTGGCATAACCAACGGACAAATTGTAAGAAGTGATGGTCGTAGAATCCAATCACTTCTTTTATCCGGGTGTGCAGATACCAAGTGAGTAAATATAGCGCATTTATTATTAGCGCTGATAATGCCACCCGGTAGAACAGAATAAAACCGTGAGCATGTTTCGCTCTCATGATTATCAGCGATACTGACCGCCTCACGTGAAGTCGTCCAAGAACCACGACAGATATGACAACGATACAATATTCGAGCAACGGCACGATCCAGATGGTCTTCATACAAAGCACTACTTGTAAATGTCGATCGGCAACACAGGCAAATATATAAACCCTGTGAAAATCGAAAAACATTAATATGATTAATACTTAAAATAAGAATAATAATAATAACACTACTCCATTCAACTTACCGCACCAATATGACTACTAACAACTAGGACACCTTTTCTATTTGGGGTAATGAGGTGATACAGGACGTGAAGAATACTAAATTTAAACTCCAAAGAAACCACGTGGACTCCGCGAAACTTTGTAAACTAGGGGCGCAACACTAGTTTGGGAAGCTGGTCACAATACTGTGCATCACTAGCATTTAACGGTATATTACACATTTCTGAACAGTAGAGATTTCTAGCTTGAGAACGGTATGCTTTCTCGATTCTTCTTTTGTTGTTGTTAGAAATCCGTTACACACTTATCGTATGTGACAGGGTTGTTGATAACCGTGGAACAGGAGTCGAACCTGGCACCCAATTGGTTGGAAGTCAATTGCTTAGGTTAGTCAACTACATCCTCCTCACTGGTATATCTTCTAAGACTACACATTTAATCACGGACGTTCCACCATCAGGTTAGTCAATTCTTTTCAAGGGAAAAACAGTGGAACACCCACAATTATTTTATTCACTCACTTTTCTTGAAGTCGAATTAAGTAGCGAATTGGGTAGTGAGTTTTCTAATCGAATATTTGCCTCATTTTCACATTGAATCGCCGATGACGGTAACTGAAAGTAACAATAATAGGAATAATTACAAATATAATATTGATATTAGCAGTACACTTACAAACGAAAACTGTTGTGTCTGAAGACACATTTTACTCAACTTAGACGGCTATTTTGTCAACAAAAAACTTCCGCGACGGCGTTATTCAGTTTAGTGGAAACGATCACAAATTCTAGTACAATTAATTCAGTAATATATCCAGTCATGTCGATTTTACAAGTGTTCAATCACCTACCTACCTACCTCAAATTTCACAAAATTCAGTTACTTCAACAATAGTGCCGAAAACACTATGAAGCCCTGCAACAAGCTAAACTCTCATCCAAATCCTCACTAAGGGATAATCTTTCCAATCATCTAGTCACCCATTCCCATCCTATCCCATCTCCATACTCAAACTGTTCATCCTCTTCTCGAGTCAGTCAGTCAGTCAGCCACAGAAGTACACAACCATTTATCACTAATTGAGGCATTATTTGAACAGTTCGCCTTCGAATAAAACCATGCAAATTGAAGCTAAATTCAAACAGAGAATAGAGATTTCATACAACCGTTTCCCTTTATTAGTTTGAAGAGAGAAAGAACGAACATGTTCTCTCTTCAAAGAGAATAGAGAATCTGGATTCTCATAATGCATCGAATTCTATCTGTGAAGAGATACAGTTTGTGTAAAATCGGGAAATATGATCAGTCAAAGTGTAGGTAATTCCACTTTAATTTCTCCTGTCTTCACGGAATGCAAAGAATCCCCTCTCTCCCTCTCTCTCTACATACATACGTACAGGCGCTCCTATTCTATTTGACAGGAAGAGTTTCACGACGTCGTTTTTCTCCATCAGTTACAGCCCGAAGAATGAGAGAAGTTTACTCTTCCTGCCTTGAATGATGATAGTATTGAAGTTGATGATGTAGCCTACTGGACAAATGTGTTCGAGCAATTATTGAGATGATTACATTGTCCTCCAGTTACAAACCGATGATCCCATACCATTTCATCGAGGAGGTAACAGACGGAGAGTACACATACCTGCACAGTATAATATCCAGTGGTCCTCCAATCGAGAACTCATTGAAGAAGAGAGATGTTGGGACAAACCAGCTTCTTTGTTAGTCATGATTTATCCATATATGAAGATATCTCTGTCCAAAATAATGATACTGTGGTGGTGGGATACAGACAATGTGTTCCAACAGAATATTATTCTCACCTATTCCCACAGGACAATACTGCATTAGCAACAGAATACTATATGTGTATTTGAACGTTCCTTTTCATCTCGTTCAATGTAAACCGAAATCACACGCTCAGTGATTCGTTAACAAATATAAACTATGCATGTATAAACAGCGGTTTGATTAATGAAAAATATACCTTGACGTCCATATCTTGCCTTTTGCTGACACAATATGACAGTGGCCCGTGTCAGGTGATCCAAAACGGAAGACGCAGAGAGGCGTTCGAAGTGCATGCAGGAGTAGGACAAGCCGACTGCCCATTATCACCAGTGATATTCTTAATTGTGGTGGACTACATTATGCATCACGCTAGACGTGGGGAATGAGAAAAAAGGAATACGCTGGACCACCGATAAGAAGACTCTAGAACATCTGGATTTCACGCGTGGATGACATATGTCGAACGTCACACAGACTCGAAGACTTACAGGCAACCAGGCAGGCAAAGCCAACAAACTGCCCCAAGAGGTGAGACAGACAGCGAAGACAGGACTCCAGGTGAATATAGAGAAGGTGTAGACGAAGGTGATGAAGATAACCAACCAACCGCCACATCAACAACAAGCAGCACCAATCACCATCAACGAGAGAGACTTAACTGAGGTGGCCTCCTCCACTTATCTAACCAGCCAGCATCGTTTCCACTACAACCAATCGGAACGGGTGAAGATGTCAAAGCCAGCCAGGGAAGATCAGAAAAACAAGATACACCCTCATCAATCTGAAACCAATTCGAAGATCTTCTGCACTCAATCAGAAGCATAAACAACAAGATTCGAATTCTACCCAACACAAATCTGAAGTCACTCAGTCAATTCTTCTATGTGAATCAGAAACTTGCACTGCGCGTGAGTAGTCACGAAAAGGATTTCCAACAGCCTGTTTCACACTTTCATCAACAACTGACCACCTCGCTGACTGACTCCATACTAAAGATCAAATGGCCAGGAAGAATTAGAAACAAGAAATTATGGCTGGGAACAAACCAACGAAGAGCCGCTCGCTCAACAAATATGTAGGGGAAAATGGATATGGATTGGGCATAAATAAGTTGAGGAGACAGTCAAATGACGTCGCGCGCAATGCAGGCCACTCCTCAAGTGGAACCCGAATGGGAAGCGGCGACGAGTGGGTTGTCATTCCTAGGGTGACATGGAGGAGATCGTGTGAGTAAGAGGAGAAGACGAGAGATTGTGGGAAATCATGGTCCAAGCTGAAGAGGACGGCAGAGAAACAGGATAAAGTGCAGATGTGTTGTTGAAGCCCTATATTTCACTCGGAACTCAAGGGAATGATGATTACAACAGATATCTGATTAATACCAGAGGAGATTTCATCACAATAATCCGCATCACTTAACGAATCACTCGAAATCAAGGTTGATAATTTTCAAACTATATACCTATTGAAGTTAAAAATACAATGTGGTAGTTAGGAACTATTCATCAGTTCATCATCGGTCACTGTCTGGCCACAGAAGAGAGTAAAGAACAGACTAGTGATGACTTGGCTGAAAACATTGACTACTCATATCAACAAATCAAACAATATAAACTATGAAAAACCTACCTGTAAAGACAAACTGTCTTCAGCTGTAGCCGTTTGATAAATTTGTCTCAAGACTGAAGAAACACTTTTAAAAGTGCGATTTATGCCAGGAAATTTAAATCTCCCGATGAGTTTCGAGTGACACGACCCCATAGGATTTTTTTTTTTTTTTTTGGAGGAGGAGGGTTCAAAATTTGTTCATTAATCCTGTTGGCGGCTGAAGAGATTGACAACTGTTTAAAATATAAATAAATATGAATTTTTGAGATGCACAAATATGGAAAGATATTCAGTGGTTTAATAATAACATAGAAAGGATTCTATACTACTTTCCTTAACCAGCTGGATATATCTGCTTATCAATAAGCGATGTTCTCACTTAGACCAGAATCCACTGCTGAGTTGTGGATGATAACACTCCTGAATGCAAACCAATCTGCAAAGGCATTGGCGATCCAATACACAGAGCCACCACTGATCCTCAGCTCGGAGGATAGATTTTACAGATGTAAGGCAAGGCTGTGCGCACCGAAGCATTGTAAACCCGACAAGTGATGGTTACTAAAACAACCATCTACATACATGTACTTATCGGTTACTCATTACAGTTCAACTGTAAGGGTGAATGCAAGTACAGGTTCCTCCCAGTGTTGCAACAATCAGTCGCATTTAGACGGAGAAAAGCACATAACATACTTATTGTAAGCATTGACCACCAATTGATTAAGTACGATTTGCACAGCCTGCAGCATGTTACTGCACAGTAAGACGATGTCGTTTGCAAACTCGAATTCGAAGTATTTTCGGTTAGCAGATCCACACAACCACCATCACGCACATCCTCCAGAGCCGACTCCAGAATGTGACTGATGGCAAATTTAAACAGAAGTGGGGAGATCGGGTAACCCTGTTTATCCCCACTAGTAGTTGAGACCACTGATGGAATAATAATCATTGGAAAACCAAATGTAAAATGAACTATACACAAATGTGCGGCAGTTCAAGTCGCCACACTCCGTGTAGCACGCGAAGCAAGAGAAGAAAGTACAAGAAAAGCATAATACAAACAGTGAGCAGAGGTGTGAGACAAAGGAGTAATAACGAAGAACAAAACAGTTTCATTGGAGATCATAAGTCACAAGGAGTGGATGCATCTGCGCTAGCCATTGAGAACGATTTTGAGCCATGTCACCAATTGTTTCCAACCATAGATTTTTACCGTCCCGAGGACCCCAACCAGTAAGCCAGTCTACACCTTCCTACGTGGCTTAGACCAACTGTTGTGGATTTCATTGACTGGTGAGGCCAAGTTTTTGTTTGACCGCCGCTAGCTTTTTTCCAGCCTGACCCTATATCCGCTAACATTGCTCGTCGAGGGAGGCGATGGCTTGGCATACGTAACACATGTCATAACCATCTCAGTCTTCGTAACTTCACGACTTCGTCGATTGATTTCCCCTCTTTACCTAGCACTCGACACCTAACTTCAATGTTGCTCACCTTATTATGCCACTTTACACGGGAAATAGAGCGCAGGCACCTATGATCAAAGACAGCTAGCCTTTTCATGTCTTCAACTTTCAGTGGCCAGGTCTCACAACCATAAAGGAGAACGGAGTGGACTGATGAGCAGTACGCCCGCCCTTTGGTCGATAGTCAAACATCTCGTCTACGCCAGAGTCGGCGTAAACTGGCAAATGCGAAACGAGCCCTCTGTATTCGTGCTGAGATTTCGTCAGAGATCAACCCGTTGGCACTGGCTGATGGTACTTCCCAAATAAGTGAAGCGGTCAACGTGCTCTACCACTTCACTTCCTATTTTTAAACTAGGCGTCGATGTAGTCCAGTCCTGTAACATCATCTTGCATTTGGCGAGGGCGAATCGCATGCCAAAAATTCGCAGATTGCGGCTCAAGGTGTTTAGAAGACTCTGCATTTCGTCAGCGTCTTCGCCTAGAAGGACTATATCGTCTGCATATTCCAAGTCAACGAGATTATTCCCTGGTAGCAAGTCAGTCCCTGAGTCGCTGAAGTCACTTAGGGTTAAGTCCATTAACACATCTATGATGAAGTTGAATAGAAAACGGGATAATGGGCATGAAACCTTATCGGGTACCGAAATACAAAGATACCTAGTTACATGATAGAAATATGTAAACAACAGTTGTCTTTCATCAACAGAGACACAAAAATAACGAACATTATTGACGTGTAAAACAAATCTTTAGTCTGTTATATCCACGTGTAGATAAGACGATGAAAATAACAGTTTAAATGCACAAGATATTTTTAAATTGAAACTACCATTCTGATAATCATTCTCGACACTTACTCTGTTCGGATCGACTGTAGATACAACTGGATTTTGTATATTACTTCCTAATTGTTGGGAACAAGTGTTTACCATTGGTGGCTGTGAATTCAGCAATACACCGGTTTCCGGTTGGGTGCATCCTTTTGATAGTGGTGTGGGACGGGGAACTAACGTACATCTATTACGAACAGCTGAATGAACTGGGCGATGATTAAATGCATCAGAAGTCCTAGGTCCAGAAGATTGCGTTGTTGGAGGAAGAGTGACACCAGATGAAGAACCAGAGGAGTGTCGTTACCAAATGGTAACGAATTAACACACTCACCACCTGTCGCCAAATGTAGGCGTGTGTCTGCGGAAGCTGTATCATGAATCACGTTACTTGATGAACACTGATCCTGACGTGAAATATAAAGTAAAAAATGTAGATCAATGATGGTTTTGAAAGAACTTCAATCATGATATGAAACAAACGATCCGAACCTATAAATATATATGAACTACTTTGGATACCTTAATTAGTCTTAAGAGAGCTAAGATGGATGGAAATGATGTGGGGAGTGTTATTCACTCCATCCTTTTTGAAATAACGCTGACTATTCTTGGCCATTATTATGTACTAGCTGATCTACGTGTGAATATATTTGTTCGCTGTTTTGCTCACTGTTTATTCTTTATCTGTAATTACAGTGGCCATACAAGTTCGTGGACGTTGGTGGCACAGCGGTCAAATGGTCGCCATCCACACATGTGGTGCAGAATTAGATTCCCCGGCCAACTGACGGGAAAACATTGGTTACTTGTAAAGAAAAGTCAGGGTTCAAAAACAATTCAAAACACTCAATATACACTGCAGACGAGGTATTCTACCTACTGTTGTTAAAGTATTGCAATTGGGAAATATAGGTACACATGACATGAAGTAATTGATCACCGTAATGCTTGAAGTGTCACATTGATAACAACTACAACTCATCAACTGAAATGATTAAATCACTACAGTTTGGATGACCACATCATAGCTTGCATGAGCTCAATTAATACCTGCCACTAGGACAATGTTAACCAAGAAAGCTTGCTCTCAAAGAGATTTTACGGTAGGCAGCTGTTGCTATCTCTCAGTCCTGTTCTAAACTATGTATGGAAAAGTAGGTGACAGACACGGTAATCAGACTCAAACCTACTTGCTCCATCCTTGAGATTATTTTATTAGGAACACACTTACTGTGATACAGGTTATAATATCTATGTATTCTACGATTTCATACCTTACACTTACCATTTTGTTGCTTTTATATGTGAGTATACACTGTAAGAGATGATTTCAAGTCACATCACAAACTGACATCAGTCAAAGAAACAACACCAGGAAGTACTGGACAGCTCTTTCGTCCCAATTTGAGACTCCAACAGCACACACTTACTACCCCATCAGGGATGGGACTCTGGGCCTTCAATTTGCGAAGCGAGTCCATTCACCACTTGACCACTGGGACAGAATCCAATGGATCATGAATTCTGTCCATTCGTGACATATAGCGCTACCATCCACCAGTCTTGTCAGCGAGCTCCGCCCTTGAATCCAACCTGGTGGACCTCATTGGTCACGACATTTCACCAAAACACCCAGTAACTCCATCCTGTAGCCAGTCAGTTGTGGGCTGTCCAGTAACCCTCTGATCCTCTAACCGGTGGTAGTCAGTAATATAACTTAGAATCAGTCAAACTCTTGCAATATAGGAGCAGATGGTTTGTTATGAATTTTCGCACAAATGAGTTAAGAGTTTAACCAATTAAAATAAATCCAAATAAGCGGATAAAAAATGTATCCGTTGTTTACAGCACCAGTAATATTCAAATGACTTTCGGATAAACCCAAACTGGGTAAAAACTGGTATCATCTCAAGAACACTCTTGTAATGCATTAAAACTGAAGTGATAATAAAGACACTATATAATTACTGACCTAACTCTTGATTAAGAAGTCATAACACGAATTTTTAAACAAAATAGCACTAGAAGACATGGAAAAGCATTTACATCATGTGGTGTACGCTGACGAATTGTACTGGGTACGATGAGGGCAGTGGAATCATTGACATTGGTTACAGCAGGTACAGAACTTCCTACAACAAGTCCATTAGACTTGTTCAGATGTCCACTCAGCGTCCCAGAAATCGGTTGCTGACAAAATCTCGACCAAGTGTAGAAAGTATTTCCAGGGAGGGTTATGTGTTCAGATGAAGTAAAGTAAGGTGGTGGACAGGTGACGCTTTGCGACCTTGTAAATCGAATTCGACTATTAGATTGAGTAGGTTCAGAAATTTCCGTAACCTACAAAGATAAAGCTTATGTACAATCGTGGATATTTCATACACGGAATACACAAAAACTATGTGGAATTAATATAAAATATAACATAGTATCCACTCCAAAACGATTTGAGAACAAATTGTACCTTCGAGATGAAGAATAATGGTGAAACTCATATTGAACCACACTAAGAGTCTGTTCAAGATTCTATAATCGATTCTCTATTCTTTAACTCCGCACCAACATCAGTATCACTACTATCATATAACAAGGTTCTGTTTAGGTAGCTTTATTCAATAAAGGAGTCTTCAGAGACTCAGTTATGTTGCTGAACAACAACACTTCCGCAGATTGCTCAGTGATAAAACGTAGATATAAGCCTCCCAATGGATGTTCTACCTCATTCCCAATGACACAACCCACTTCTCCTGCTACAAAATGAATTGTAAACATAAGTTCAACCGGATACCCAGTGTCACGATTTAACTGAGATGCTTACAAATATGTGTCACAACAGCAAACAAGTGACTGGTTGTATTAGTTTCAAGATTCATGTCTACAAATGTCATATAAACATCACAAAATTAGTTTCCCTGCAAAATTAAACCTACCATTCTTTGTCCCTAAAGACAATTTTAGTACTACATGCTACTTATATGCAAACAACGAACTTAATCCCTACCGTCTTCCCTGAAACTACATTATTTATACGCAGTCAACTGTTTCGCTGAACTGTGCAATCAATAATAACTGTTTGAATACCACCACTGGAAAGCACAAGTGGCAGGAAGTAACTGTGATGACACGTATAGGTGGCGTGAAAGGCAGGTGCGTCGGTGGCACAGTGGTTACGACTCTCGCCGACCATGCACATGGTCCAAGGTTCGAACCCCTGCCGACGCACATCTGATATCTATGGTCGGCCTGCGAAATTTGGGATACCGATATTCATGCTGAAAATTCCATACTTGTACCAAAAATACAGTGTGGAATCAAGCTGTAATCAAAAATAAAAAAATAAAAAAAATAAGAAATTGTGTAGCATTTCTGTATAATACTGAGATTATTCTGCGATATGAACATGGTGTAAACCATGTATACAAATATCAACCGATGCAGTTAAATCATAGTGGCTACCCCAACAGACATGACGTTCGACACCCAATTAAATGTGTTACAATCAAATGAAATTGTATCCTTCGCTCTAGGATTGCTTAAAGCCTTCCAGGAAGCTGAATTCGCACGCATTTACGTCATAGGATGCTAAAATTTCACAATACCACTACAATTATCTAGTCCGCACGGATTACAAAAATGGCGTTTATCAGGAGAATTTTAGCGAAACCAGTGTGAATACAAGTCTTATTTCTGATACTTAATTCAATCTGTACAAAATCAATGAAATAGATTGGGCAACTAAACGCAGACTTAATCTAAAAACAGCATAATATATTCAAGAGTTGGCTTGTAAGGATTAAATTGATATCAATCCGAGGTCAAATTCGCAAAAACAAATCTAATCCCTACAAACCAACTCTTGAAAATTAATCTGATGCTTACTAGTGACTTCCTACAGGACGGAGTTTCCTGAAGTTCTAGAGAGAAGTCATGACCAGTAGGGCACATCCAGTCAAATGTGAGGATGGATTTCCCGCCTATGACACTGGTTGGTGGTCGCGCTAAGTCACGAATTGGTAGAAGTTAGAATTCATGCACTGGCCGTTGAATCGGGTCCCAGTAGCCAGGTGGTATACGAGCTCGCTAGCCTTGTAACCGCTAGGTCTTCGGTTCGAATCCTGGCAGTGTGTGCTCACACAGCCGATGATTCCCAAACTAGGACGAAACAGTAGCTGTCCAATACTCCCTGGTTTTCAACCTGATATCGATCCGTGGCCAAACTCGTAAAGGCATAATTTATACCAAAAACTTACTGGAGCGGACAAGCTCTGAGAGGGGCAGCCTTCCGAAGTTGGCTCTTGTTTTATGTTTGTTAGTAAGAGATTTCCTCGTCGCTCTGGTAAGAAAAGCTTGGTTATCACTACGTCTTGCAACATTGTCCGTCAAACCACAGGGGAAGAACGCCAGCTAGCAAATTGCGCGTGCCGTGTATTTTGCAGTCATTGGACTAAACAAAACGAAATCACAACTTACAATATCCAATATTATTTTTACAAGCCATTGTAAACTAAATTGATTTCTCTGTGCTTACTTTGGGTTGTAAGGTTCCTCGTCTACAGTGAATTTCCGCGCGAGCTTTGAAAATGGAGTGAATTTTGTTTTGGCAATCAATGGAGGTACACACGGGGTGTAGTTGTGTGTTATCGCGATGTTGTATTAGAGTTGTTCTATGTTGTTTTCAGGTGTCTTTTAAAACGAACTGTATTACAAATACTATGTTTTGATGAAAAACTTGGAAAATTGGTGGAAAGTTGACGTTTTCAGCAGTTTGAATGAACATGTATCTGTCATCGAATTTCGTTGTTTCTTTGCATGTGGGATGTTAAAATTCTGTGTGAATTGGTGATTATTGCAATAAAAACGAAATGAATTAGGTAGTTGATGCATATTTTGCGAAATGCTGAAGTGGTGTTTTGAATCTGTGAGTTATGAAAACTTGGTAAGAGTCACAAGATTTTACAGTTATAAAGGAGTGTGAGTTGATTTACTCGTAAGATAACAGTGAGTGAACAAAGTTTTCCTAGTGGGTACTTTGGTTTTGGGCATTTTTATATTGCTAATTTTTTGGTATCAGATTATTTACTGTTGATTTGCAGGTTGAT